AAGTAAAGAAATCGTTAGAACTTAAATCGGGACTATATGGAGGATGGTCCAATAATTCCACGTTTTCTTCCGTTAAATACTGCCTTGTTTTTTGGGCTGTGTGCGAGCTTGCATTGTCTTGGTGGTGTTTTTGAGTTTCCGGAATTGAAACGGTCAAGCCCTTTTTGACACCAATTAACCCTGGCTGCTTTCTGCTCTTCAGTCAACAGGTGGGGTATCCAACGAGAAACTAATTTTCTTACTCCTAATTCTTCATGTAAAATTTTTTGAATTGAGGTCTTTGAGATCTTCAAGGACGCCTCAATCTCGCGATATGTCACATGTCTATCGTCAATGATGAGTTTGCGCACCGCATCGACGTTTTCCTGGGTGACTGCCGTTTTTGATGCACCCACCCTGGGATCGTCGCTAAGACTCACCCGTCCACGTTTGAATTCTCCATACCAACGGGAAATTGTCGACTGATGTGGCGCTTCGTTGCCGAAAACAGACAGTAACTCAGCAATGCATTCTTGTTACGATAATTGTCTCTGAAAGTTGTAATAAATTATGGCGCGAAAATGTTCTCGGTTGAGTTCCATTTTTCTAACGACTAGGTGACACTTAAAAATTCACTGTAGTGAGAACACTGCACGTATTGTGAAAGTTTACTAAAGAGTGAGGTTAAGATTCAGTACTGTCGTTCGATCCGCGCGGCCTACTATGTTTCTATATGCAAAACTTAAAAGACATCCCTCGTACAGAGGATTTTAATGAGCCTTGATTTTTTTGAATTCAAATGGAAATTTTAAATGCATTATTTATTCAACAATTTTTGAGCGTATCAAAATGTACAGTTTATCTTTGATTTGAATTTTCAAATTAAGGAAATTGAAATTTTGTTCTAATATAAAGATAGACATTATAATATTACTTGGGTAGTTTAATAACAAATGATTGGAAGCTCATAATCATATAGATTTTATATTTTATAAAAATTAATAAATCAATCAATAAGTCAAAGGTTTAAATGTTTTGGAGCACACAAAAAAGTTGATTCAATAATTTATTCTCAGTTATTCACCTTCAAAAGTCTAGGGGTACTTTGCAGGTGAAAATGTCGATAGAATTAAAAAGAAACAGAAAATGTCGCGTTTCAAAGTTGGGCACATAAAGTTCCAACCGCTTATTATATTTCTTCATAACTAAAAGTTTTAATGTTGCCCGTACACTCAAGTGTGAAATATTGCGGCAGTTGTGTCTATGAATATTTTACTTTTAAACTTTTTTAATCATTTTATATCCTTCGTTGCGTTCGTCAAGTTATGAATTTTTCCGGGTCCCACAGCTTTAAAAAGTTAAGAAATGTTAAATTGTATCACAAATAGGTCTTAAAATTTCAATGCATGTATCAGGGAAGTTAGAAGAAAATGTAAAAGGTCGATAAATGATTTAGAGCTACAACAATTTGTGTGTTAAGGCTCCTCGGTACCTCCATATAATATACATCTATGATAGTCCTAACTTAACTGATTTATTTTTCATCGAGAACAAGGAAAAGGAAAAAACTATCTTATAAATCCATTTCTCTAGAATCTGCTGTTTACTTCGTTACGATACCTCCACAGATAACTTGAAAATATTGTGAAAGCGAAAAGCATGTTATGCCTCCTCCTAACGAAGCTGATATAGGCTGTCAAGTCTGGGTATGATCCCTCCTCCTGCTAAAGAGAGCCAGTGGCCGCGTGCCACTTCCCCTCTCGAATCTGTCACCTGTGATGTCAGGTCGAGGGATATGTCCCGGCGGATCACTTTCGCTTCGGGTGCCGATTCTGGAATAAATAAATCGAATGCCCTGTATCACTGTCAGTCATGCGATACATAGGCGCGTGGCAGCGGGTATCTCTCAAAAACATAAAATTTTGCCCAGATATTGAGCATAATTTTCAGAGAGGAAGGTGAGAGACGTGCATAAGCCGGCAGCTTCTCTGGAATATCTCAAGCATCACGGCCTGATGGAGAGGTGCATAAATCGCGAGCTTCTGGACTTCCTCGATTAGCGACAAGCAGTAGTGTTTCCAGTACCAGCGTTCAACGGGGAGCCTCCCAGAGAAGCTACTCAGATGGGTGGCTGACTTTCACTCTGGTCACAAGATAAGTATCCGTCGCAATTGACGGTTTCTCGTCGGGTGTTTTCCTGGGATCGGTTTTGGCTCCAACATTGTTTCTATTACATATCAACGATCTCTTTTCCTGTAAGATCAATCCGATCCACAACTTTGCAGGGGTTCAGAGTGCCAAGCCGATATCTACCGGTGAACTGGAGCTGGAGAGATGACTTTAAGCAGCAACTTTTTCTCTCTGACGAGAGGATAGGTTTTCCATATCATACCATTTATGACAAACTTCCTCGCTGGAAACGAGACTGATTGACGACATCGAGACTTCTGCACTTTATCTCTCCAGAATGATTCGGGGATCAGTTACTCTGTTAGCGTCAATACTGTTTCAGTAAAGGTAAGAGAGCCACGTCCACTCATTTCAAGAATTGGATTCCTGGAGGTTATCATTGCTTACGCGCACAAAAAATATGTGATACAGTTTAATGCTTTCGAAATACAGTACTGCATAGCTTGACTAACAAAAAGCACCATAACGCTCATTCGGTTTCGATGAATGGGCACAAACTCTACCAAAAATCCGTTCGTTTTTCGACTTGTCGCAGTCCAGATCACCCAGCACTTGATCTGGCACGAACATTTCTGGCCAATCGCGGCAGCTGTTGGGAAAAAGCTAGGCTATTTGTTTTGGGTTAAAAAGTACTTTTCTCCACGTAACCTCCTTACTCTTTATACAAGGTCCAGATAAGGCAAAGCATTGCTCTCATGTTTGGGATGCTACCGCCCCGACAACATTGTCCATACTAGATGCTGATCAGAAAGCTGTCCATCCAATCAGGGACTTCTCTCACGGACCAACGGGCCTTGACGGTGACCTAGCTCTCTTCTAGCACTATGTCAAAGAATTTTGCTCCTCAGAGCTTTACTCCATGATGCCATCACTTGATGAGTCTGCCGGACAAACCAAGCTTCGGCCTCCCATCCTAACCGTGCCGCACTTCGTACTCGCAGAACTGGTCGGGACGACCTCTGCTACATTCCTAGGGTGTCGATTTGTCGAACAATCTGCCTGAAGAGGTTTTTCTACTAACCTCTTAGGTAATTCAAGAATCGGATTAACAAGGTCTCTCGAAAACCTCCTGCTTATAGCAGTCGAGGTGCTGTGTATAGGGCAGTCTATATATGTAGGGGCCCCTATCCACGCAGAAGGCTTTAAGCCAGAGCGAAATCCAGGGTCCTACCTTGCCGTAGGGGACAATTGAAGAGCGGGTAGAGGGCACTCAAGCATTTAAATTTTCGATTTTTGGGCATTTTGGGGCTCCCATGAATTTGGCGCCCTGGGCGCTTGCCCCTTGTGTCCATGGGTAAAGATGAATTCGAATGGAGGCTTTTGCTAGACAGAGGATCAATTATTTATTTATTCGCTTAGTCAAACCAGAAAACGCGTAAATCGTTACTCATGAGTCCGAGGAAGTACAATTGTTGTGTCCAAACTACACTCGTCAATTTAGGTCATCAGTCAAATTAACTTTTATATCGGTTGGTTATTACACTCCACTCAGATATATCCGGTTTTCCAATAGGGACTTGACAACTTTGAACTTTCACTGTGAACGCACCTTTAAATCAATTACCGAACGAAGCTTACAAATAATTAAAATTTACTACCGAAATTCCGAGTCGATGACTGCAACTTTGGTCGTAATTCTCGTCCCAGTAGACAAGCAATTCGTAGTCTAATAAAAAATGTGAGTCCACATATTCGCTGCTGGATTTTCCCGTGCGAGTGAGACAACCGGGTTGGTCGAAGTGCCGAGAATATTGCTGCCGTTCAAGCTTCCGTCGCAAACGAAGAGAACACGGCGTTCTCAAGAATTGGGCATCGCTCAGACCACACTATGACGAATTTTGCGAAAAGGTCTTGGCCTTCATATCAAGTTAACTCAAGAACTAAAGCCGTTCGATCATATGAACCGACGTACGTTCTCGAATTGGGCTCTAAAAATGTTTTAAAAAAATGACCAATTTCATCGCAAAATCATCTTCATGTGCTTCAAAAAACACCACTTCATCCACAAAAAATAACTGTATGGTGTGGTTTTCATGCTGGTGCTGTCATTGCGCCGTTTTTTTTTTTTCGTTGATGAAAATGACCGTCACGTTACAGTCAATGGAGATCGCTACAGAGACATGTTGCAGCGTTATATTTTTTTTGTCAATTGGATGCGCTAGACATTAATGATATGTGGTTTCAACAAAACGGTGCCACAAGCCACACAGCGGGTGAAACAATCGACATATTGAAATCAAAATTCGGTGAACGTGTTATATCGAGAAATGGTTCTGTCGAATGGCCGCCTAGATCGTGTGATTTAACACCTCTAGACTTTTTTGCGGGGCTACATTAAATCGTTGGTCTATGCCAACAAGCCGGCGTCGTTAGAGAAGCTCACAGCCATTCTGAACGAGAGATAGCGCCCGTTTCTGTGGAAATGTGTGACCGAGTAATTGAAAATTGAGTTCAACCATCGAAACGAAACGATCGCTGCGAACGTGCCCGTGGTGGACATATGAACGAGGTTTCCATATATAAATGTCTTGAATATGCTTCAATCCAACAATAAAATTTTCGAAATATCTCAAATGGTTTGCGTTTCATTTAAAAAGAAATTTGTCAAGTCCTTAATAGAAAACCCTTTTCCTTCACACTTACAGGTTACCGCGGCAATGTAGGACCGAAGACCTTCAACCTAGTCTTTTTAGCGAGCGTTCATACTACTTTGTTTTTTAGGAAGAATAGGGTACTCGATTTCAAATCCATTCTCGAAAAGAATCAAGTTTGCCAACACCATACAAACCTTTCCATGCAGTTTCGGAGAAAATATCATACTAATAAATGAATATATATTCAGAGTTGTGAATAACTTTATTATATTCCTACTATTGTACATGATATAGTCACAAACCATTGCAAAATGATTGTTATAAAAATTATATTTAGAATCTGGCACCGATTTCAACAAATATTGCAGATATGCTTTGCTTCTTTTATGATAAATGAGTTTAATGAATACACCAGTCAGCAATATAGATGTAAGAGTCATTGGGGTGAATGTGTGCCTTTTATAACAAACTTATCGAGACAAGACTGAGTTTCCCTCTCATATCCACACAGAGAATCACAAAGCAATAACAGTAGACTAGATAATGAAAGTATGAGGTGAGTGATAGTAGAGGTAGCTCAAAATCTCGTAAGACTTGGACGCGCAAATGGGAAAAATAAAATTGAGAGAGTACTATACTAAAAATAAATAAAATAAATTAACTATGATCTATCCAAAACAGTGCAATGTCTTGATCAGGCACCCAGAATGACATATGGGGCTTATACAGAGTAAAGAAGCTATTGAAATATTATCAGTGGCTTTTTTCTTATTCCACTGAAATATATTAAACAGGACTTTTTTATGACTGTTCATATTTCAATGCAGTCTACATTTTTCCATCAAATTTTAGTTTGTAATTTGCTAACTATGATGAGCCAGTTCATGTTTCCTAAGACTAGTCACCTTTGTAGTCCTATAATCACACTGTTTACAAATACTAATTTTTTTAGTCACACTTTTTGTCAACTCATCATTGTCACTGTGCTGACGAATAATATGTTCATCTAAGTGATCCTTTCTGCCAAACTCCTTATCACATGCGGTGCATTTGAACTCTTTCACTTTTGAGTGAATTTTCAAATGCTTCATCACATCACTCTTTCTGTAACTTGTATAATCACAGTTGGTACATTTGTAAGTGGCAGCATTATCTTTAGTATGAGTCAGCATATGCTGAGACCAGTTATTTTTGTATGTTGTCTTGAATGGGCAAATTGGACATGAATGTATTTTACTCAACACTAAAGAAGTTAGTGCTGGATAAGTTTTTACAATATGATCGTCCAGAGCCTTTTTTTCTTTGAAAACTTTGTTGCACCTTTCACAGGTGTATTTGATGTAGTTTGTAGTGTGCATAGCTGTGACATGCTTTGTCATATTACTCCTGACATGTGTTTCATATGTGCATTGTTCACACTTATACCATTCCTTGGGCTCTTTGTGTTGTATAAGTTTATGGTTCCTAAATGTAGATTTATTTCGAGTGGTAAATGGGCAGAAAGGACATCTGAGTATATCTTCATTATCCTGTGATTCAAAACCACTCAGAAAATGGAAATCTATGATGGATTCAGTAGGAGTCAATCCAGGTGAAGCCATTCTGGTGTCAGGCTTGTCAGATACACTAGAATTAAAAGATTGCAATTAAGGCAAACTAACTTGGGAATATTAATAGTAAGACAATGAAAAGATTTTCATATTTCAAAATCTTTAAACATACCAGCATCTATTTCTACCAGAGCCGGTCAAATATATTTGTTGTAACAAGTCAAAATAAATAAAAAAAATAAATGAAAAAGAATAGAATCTTAATTGTAAGTAATCAATGCATGATGTCAAATGTGCAACAGCAATAAGATGGTACATTCATTTTCAATGTAAAAATTCATAACCAGTCTTTTGGCCAGTTATGGTATGTCTAGTGTTAAGACCTTGTATCTCTATAGGGGAAGTGATTAGCCCTTTTTGTAGGAACATTTTTTATTGAGTCTGCCAATATAAGTATTGAGATAGCCTCTGTACTTCAACTTACTTATTTCCCTCCACTGCCAAATTTATTGTAGTATCTTCATTGATAGCATGTTTGACATCCAGTTCTTTTGACATGAAAACATTTTGAGCAGTGTCATCTATGCAGGTGCTTGTTTCTGTATCAACATTTTCAGTTTTTACTTGTACTATATCCTGATCATTTTCACTTTTTATCTGTGCCTTAACAGCACAGTAGTGTCCATTTTTATTTTTACATCTATGAAAATTGAACTAATTTGATTTATCTACTAGCATAGGTAGGACATAAGTTTATCACGTGTTTAGAAATTAGGTGTCAGCTATAAGATCCCAGTCTAATGTATGATATAAAGGCATGCCCTGTCTGATAATATAAATAGAGATTGGAAAAAGGTTACATATATATTTATATAATAGACTGCAGGTTAATCTTTCAAAGATGAGGTTAGACACCTCTGCTTTATGCAGCTTGCAATCCTACCAGAGCTGCTTTCCAGTGCTCCTGTTGAGTTACTCTGAGTAGCTCGGCTCAGAATTTGGAAGCATATCACTCTCAAACCAAAAACCACTGGAAAGCAGCTCTGCTGTACAAAAAGCACTGTGAAGAGTTGCTCAATGCATAATAGATTACACTGATATCAAGTCTTATTCTAGCTTACCTATCATGACAACTTTCATCAGGAGATGTACTTTGTAAATTCACATAGTCTGGCTCTACTTCCACAACAGTTTCACCTCCATTCTCAGTTTCCTCCGTTACCTCCTCTTTGATTTTAATTATGTCAGGATCTAAGTCCATTGTTGATTACAGCTCAGATTTAGATTAACATTGGGACTACTACAAATAAATACACATGTTCATCTGTAAGCAAGAAACTGGGATAACAGGGTGATAAAGACATACTCCTCATCTTGCCCAAGAAGTTTGGGGTTCATATTTATATAGATTGTATACCTTCATTACTTAATAGTTTTCACTAGTATAGGTGGTTCAAATCACAAAAAAAGATACGTTTAATTGAAATGAATGTTATCTTCCACAGTGTTTGTGTTATTTATTGTTGTCATTTCATTTTATTTGTATTTATGTATTTACTTAAAATTTTAGGCACACCAACAAACAACAAAACAGAAAACGACAAATCCAAACTTGCAAGGGTGGCAACACTGACAGCAATATAAAGGCCGTCATGGACGGACGTCCTCTTTTTTTGACAGTCTACCTGTAAATTGGAATCTACTGGTTTCAAATCAACGTAATTCATTTTTAATTCTAGAAAGGCTTGGTTTTATATTTCGCCCATCTAAAAATGGCGTTCGAGCAATTGAAAAAGGAAAAGTTGAATTTATAGAATATGAACCTCTCATGTTATTTAGTCTATGTGATCAATAGACATTTTTTTTGTTATTAGCTCAAATGAAATTTTAAGAAAAATGAAACAAGATGGTGAAAAAATTATTAATTTATCTCTAAAAACAAAAAAGTTACAGCCTATCCAAGTTGCGCACCGCGAGAATATTTTTATTCCGTCTGAACGAGACGCGTGTCGTCGTACTTCGCTATCCAGTTGCGACAGCCGTGACCAACTCAATTTCCTAAACACACAGATAGGTACACATACTGCTGGAACATGTGGTAGGCTAAACTTCTCCAATTTGTTTAATATTAGTTGACTGCATATACGATTGGTTATGAGCGAAGTAACAAAAAAAGTGTCGTTATAAATACTGTAATGTTCCAAAATGAACGAGTACAACAATATTAAATATTACGACTCCTATTAACATTTTTCTACGTCCCCTCACATGAAAATATCACGAAGAAATGGTGCAGACTTGTGAAGCGGGATTTGATTGGAATAAAAAGTACAACATATGTCTGTAAAGAACACTTTGATATGAGTATATCACTTTACTGTCTAATTATGATTATTAGCTATTATATGATTTTCCAGCTCATTTCACTGTACACGCGGCATTTGACGGGAAACTATTTATCAACTAATATTATAGATCACCTATTTCAACTCAGCGAGAGTAGCTGTATACTATATACTATAGTGTCACTTACCCCCTAGAAAGGCGTCAAGTAGGTTGACTCTGTACTGCATTATACGCAATGTTATATATTTTAGTGAGATTTTATAAAAGTAACACCTTTATCAAATTTCGACTTCGTATGCGTTATTTGCCATTTCAGATTGAGAATGATACTGAAAATCTGATAAAATATCAACTAGTCGGTGGAAGGCTGAAGCTGAAAGTTGGAGCAAACCCTCATAAGCTTGACTGCCAAAAATATGTGCCGCGCTCGAAGAATGCGGATCATATTTTATGAGAAAAGGCGTGTCGCAGTTCAATCAGTGTGACTCAACTTACGAAAATTGAAAGCATTAGAAGATCCACTGCTTGAAGATTATACTGTACCTATCTGTAGCAGGAGATCATGGTACAAAAATTGAACACAAAAAGTGAATCTTGCATTTCTATGCTTGTATCTGTAAAGTAAGCCATTACTTGGGTCTTATTAAGCTGTCTTCGTTTACATTCATTAATGAGTCTTTCGAATAGGTTAGGATCCTCTACTACATGTAAATTTGAAGAACTTTCACTTTTGTTATTGAAATCTTTCGCATATTACCAAAAATTCCAGATAACTTTTGAAAAACTTCCAGTTATTCAATGACTCTAAGACGAAAACTAATATAATAATAATTATAGTAATAATAACATCGGTCCCATAATTCTTCGTTTTCGAGATACAGTGCGTCAAACTTGCTTAGAGAAGTCAAGTTTTGTTATAATCTCAAAATTTATTTTATATTGTAATTAAATATAGTGTTGGGGATTTAAATTAATTTAGTTCATCTAACCAAAAACGTGCTTATGAAACCAACCCCGCCTCAAAGGCAGATAACCTAACAGTTCTAAATCCACCAAACTATAGATTTAAATGTGTCGTTTTAACAAGGCGTTTCTCTTCATTAGGCTCAGTTAGATTGTTGTCATAGCTGTATCTCTGCATACTGAATTTCAACAAATTCTACAAATATCTTTAGCGTTGTTACGTTTTTTTTACAAATGAACTGATTTCCAAAAACACTCGACAAACCCTGTATTTCCAGATCCAACATAACAGTCATAAAATTTCTCCTTGAACTTCGATAACACCGCGTTTCAAGTTCAGAATTTACAGTCGCAACGTCGGTCAAGACAGTCACAAGGATATGCAGTCTGTGACCACCTTTAGACAAGAATGTGTCACTCCTGTGCGACAGTCCGACACTAACAAGTGTGGTTAGAATTCATGTGGAATTTATTAGAAGTTTTCAAATAGATAAACACGTGCTTTTCAGGTTTCCATAAGCTTTATTCAATAAACATTTCCAGAATAAAATAATGGCACATTTGAATTTGAGTAAGTAGCGGAGCTTGTATATTTATCAAAACTAGTTAATCTACTTCATTTTAGAGAAGAAATCGAAACGGCAACCGGCCCGTCAAAGATACAAGATTTTGAAAAAGATTCGACTTCACAACAAAAAGGCACGAAGAGAAGCTAAGAAAAATCCTACTAAGAAAAAGCAAGAGATTATCCAGGTTCCTAATATTTGCCCCTTCAAAGAGGATATTCTGAAGGAAGTAGAAGCTTATAAAAAACAAAAGGAGGAAGAAAAAAATCGCAAGAAGGAAGAGGCCCGGTTGGAACGGGAAAAACAGAATAAGGAGAAAAAGAAACAGCAACTGAGTGGAGGCTTAGAAAAGCTAGTAAGTCTTTAGTACCTTATAGTGCCTAGATTTGAAGCACTTTTAAGTGCACATACATAGATGAACAATTCACCTCTCTATAACCTCACCATTCCAGTACATTACCACTGTCACTTTCATAGTTGTACTTTGCTGTATGCATCTTATCTTCATTAATGGTGAAACAGATAGCTTTCAATTGATGCAGGAGACAATCGGCAATGATAGTGATAAGCGGTGCAATGAGATGTGTGGCTATGACATATTCGTGCCCTTATGGTACTTATTGATATCTTAATGCACCTTCATTGCAATATGTTAAATTAGCAATGTGATTACCTCAGCATCTTTCAACTTTTATTATATAGTCTGCCTCTGATTCCCATTATAATTCTTATGAAATCTAACCTAATATTGCCAAACATAAGTGGCATGTGAACTGGACTAATGATCAAGACATTGGTGTATTGTTAATTTTTAAAGCATTCAGATATCCCAGTGAGACACCTTCAGTAGAATGTACCCTTAGGTCAGTCTTAAGAATGAGTGAATTACTTTTGTTTATTCTTACTAAGTAGCTACTACTATTTTTAGAGAGCAAATGCTGAATTAAGAGACAAACTTCATCAGCACTTTACTCCAGATACTTCTAATAAAACCCATGAAACAAGCAATGAGAATTCCCTCAAACAATACTATAAGGAATTCAAAAAGGTTATTGAAGTAGCTGATGTTATCTTGGAAGTGGTCGATGCAAGAGACCCCTTAGGGACCAGATGTTCCCAAGTTGAGAAAGCTGTACAGGATACTGGTGGAAGCAAAAGATTGGTTTTGGTATTGAATAAAGCAGATTTGGTGCCTAGATATGCACTGGATCAGTGGTTAAAATACTTTAAGGCAACAGTACCTACTGTAGGTAAGTATGTATTTGTTACCTCTACATCATTCAGACTAGAGTTACAGACTTTGTGTTCATATAGAGAAATCCAAATATCACTGATGAGGTAATGTATATTAGAGAGAAGCCAAGAAGTGTACAATACATATGTTAGAAAGACTGCATGGATGTTCGTGACTTGTCATTGGTTGTTGCTTGGCAACATGGTACTTCTCTTTCTAACATTGGAGCTTCTCTCTTCTACACAGTATGACTGATACATGGATTCTCTGTATATTACATATAATATTTGAGAAGCTTGCCTGCAAAACTGGATATATCCACTTGTATGTAATATTTACTGTTAGTGTCAGGTTTTGAAAGTCTAAAAACTTCAAGCAAATGATAAAAAGTTCATGATTTGCAGCACAAACTGTAGTAATCCAAATATCATTTCAAACCAATTTGAGAGCAGGCACATTCCAAACGTGATTAAAATTACATCTTTATGAGAAGCGTTCTTGACCACTGTAAAAGATTCTGTCATTTTGATGTCAGAAAGAACCGGAACTGTTTGCGAAAATAATTTGCTTTTTATGTTACATATAATTTGTTATTCATGTTTGTTATTGATGATTTTGATTGACTGTTGACCCACTTGTGATGACAGTTGGAAATTTTTAAGACTGGAAAATATGGGGGCAAATATTTGAAAATTCTGCATTTATATTAGGCTTACAGTCCTCCTTCAAAAGTTCTAGTTACTATAGATTTTGAAAAAATGGTATATCTTTGATTTAGTTTGATGAAGTCATTGCTTACCCAATACTGAAATGTCTTTCTAGCATTCAAGGCATCCACTCAAACACAGAACAGAAAATTGGGCCAAAAGAAATTCTCCAAATCACAAGACATTGTGCAGAACTCTGCTTGTGTGGGAGCTGATTTATTAATGTCCTTGCTAGCGAATTATTGCAGAAATAAAGGAATAAAAACATCTGTTACTGTTGGTGTAGTAGGATTGCCAAATGTAGGAAAAAGCTCAATTATTAACAGTTTGAAGAGATCTAAAGCTTGTAATGTAGGTGCAACTCCAGGTGTTACAAAGTATGTATAAAATCAGATACTTGTTAGGTATTGGGCAAAACAATGGAGAGAGAAACTTCATAGTTCCTCTCATAAATAGGTATAATAAAACTATTTGAATTGTAGGGCCATGCAGATAGTTCAACTTGACTCAAAGATAAAACTGTTAGACTCTCCAGGTATAGTTTTTGCTGCTGGAAATGATGCAGGAGCAGCATTGAGAAACGCAGTCAACATATCCTCATTAAGTGACCCACTCACACCAGCTAATGCCATATTACAGAAGGTATCAAAGCAACAAATTATGGAGATGTATGACGTTCCTGAATATAATTCTCCTGAGGTAAGACAAGAGGAGGTTTTTCCCAGTTCTACTAAACTTGGGCAATTCTAAAATCGGATTAACAAAGTTTCTTTGGGATTCTCAAAGCAACCGCGGTGCCCTGGCATTTAAGCTTCTGCCTGCGCGGCTGCTTTGGTGTAAAGAAAAAAATTGAAACAATTTTTAATTGTAGGAATTTTATGCTTTGAAAGCAACAAGAACAGGCCGATTTAAGAAAGGAGGAGTGCCTGATATAGTAGCAGCTGCTAGAGGTTTACTAGAAGATTGGAATAGGTATGATTTTTTTCTTTTACTTCACAAACCTTACGCTTACTGGCGGGGAAGCATTGCGATTGCGAAAATTTCCGAAAATGAGATATTGTTTGTTATAATGATATGTATATCTCGAAAAACCATGTCACTCATTCCCGTTCGTCGGTCTGTCTGTCCGCTAATCTTATAACCGCCTAAAACTTGAGACGTATTGCTCGGATTTTGATGACATTTTTACACAAAGTTACTACTATGCCAAGGACGGAAAGTCTTTGTAGTTTTTGCCAGTGTGGCCGCGAAAAAAAAGGCCAAAAACGTTTCAGTGGATACTGGCAATTTAAACAAAAAATGTACAAGTAAAAAACTTGGGGGTGGGGATTGTAAGGGGATGAGGAGGTTATATCGCAATTTTTTGATGTTAGTATATTTATACGCTCCCTATGCTGTGGCCGCGCTGCCACGTCTGACCGGGTTAGGTATCGGGAGAGGCGACGTTGCCAGATGGACTACCGGTAGGGCAGGAAAAGAATGCCTATGAACTAACTGTATGGACCTGTTTGACCGACTTTTTTCTTAGACGCTCTAGTGTGTGCTGAATATTATCTTTTATGAACTGATAACGACGTTTTGTAGGAAGTGCAGAGTCTACGTACTTGACGCCATTTTTTTTTGTATATACAGAGTGTCCCGAAATTGAAGAATAATTCTGATCCCGTCATGGCCTACTAGATGGTAAAATTTTGTTTTATTAAAAGTCTTACAGCTTTTGAGATCTTCAGCACTCATCGTTTGTTTTTAAAAAAACTGGCTTATATTCAGTTAATTCCATGCCATTTTCACATATATCAACTTTTCAAACCAGGTTTGTTTTAAAACACTCGGAATCAAGCATTTTCTCTCGTCCAGCATTATTTTTCCTTAAGGAGGCGAAAAACCCACATAAAAACCATGCTAAAGGCTGAATTTTTATTAAAACCCTTTCTCACCTCTGACATTGACACCCTGTAGAGTGAAAGGATCAAGTCAGACCACTGTGCCAATTTGTCGAAACAGTTGGCAAACTATTGCCAATTTTTGAATGGTATTATTGTTATTCTCCCTCTGCTGTTTTTTTTTTTCGTTTTATTGCAGTTATAATGGAGAAGGTTCAGTTTTCGTAGATATTTGATTTAATAACAATATATGGCTTGGAGAAAAAAAATGGAAAGGATTGATGTTCAATGATAATTTACATTTAAGATATCAATATGATGAGCACAATTGACTGTTATGCATGACTTGCATTCATAAAACATTTTTTTAACCTACAAAAAATAACCGCTCCAATGCTCGAGGTTGCCTCAATTTTGGAACTCAATATTGTTACTGTGGCCAACACAGCTTGATGTACAAATTCTCTAAATCTAAAGCAACCCTAATAAAAAATTCACACTCTGTCAGATGTAGACCACTTCAATTACAAAAATGCAACATCCATAATGATGGATCAGGCTGCGCGGTCTTATTTCATTGCAACCATCGTTCGTTGGACCTAAATACACTAATTTTTTATTAGGGTTGCTTTAGAGAATTTGTATACCAAGCTGTGATGACCACAGTAACAGAATTGAGGCATAGAGCGGTGAATAACAATAATACCATTTAAAAATTGCCAATAGTTGATCAGCTTTTTCGACAAATTGGCACAGTGATCGTACTTGATACCTCTCACTCAACATGGTGTCAAAGTCAGACGTGAGAAGGGGTTTTAATAAAAATTCAGACTTTGGCATGACTTTTATGTGGGTCCACCTCAAGAAAAAATAATACTAGACGAGATAAAATGCTTAATTCTGAGCGTATTTAAACAAACCTGATTCAAAAAAGTTGATATTTGTAGAGGCCAAGACGTGACTTATCTACAGTAGCAAGATGATCCTTCAATTTCGGGACACCTTGTATATCTAGTGACTGGAGATTTTTTTATAGGTTTTACTGTTTTCTCACCAACCATCTGAAAATAAATATTAACCTACCTTTAAGACATACTGCATAACATCCGTGTGATTATTTCAGTGGTAAAATAAAATACTACACGGTTCCACCAGAAGGTACAGACAACTTGATAAGTGCAAAAATAGTATCAGAAGTGGGCAAGGAATTTGATATTGAGTCATTTGAAGCAATGGAGACTGATGTTCTGAGCAAGATAGAAAAAGAGTCTGACAAGAAGGATGCCTTTGTGTTGGATAGTATGGGAACTGTAGATGCCATTGAAGAGATGGAACAGGATGGAGAAGATGATTTAGTAAGTTAAACTTTGTTTTCCACTCATAGCTTCTTCACCAATTTTTGAATGTTATTTGCATCTGATGATTGTAAGACTAATTGATACTTTGTATGTATATTTTATGTCTTGATATTAATGATATATTGCTTATTTTTAGTTAAGCAAGAATATGACCGTAGCACAGAAAAAAACTGAAAAACAGAAGCAAGCTCCGCGTGTGAAGAAACCAGATCCTGAAATGGAACTTGAAGGCAACCAAAAATTAAACCAACTTAAGAAGAATCAGTTCAAAAAGGAGAAGAAACAGAGAAAAAGAAGGGAAAAGGTCGCTCTACAACTTTCAGCTGGTTTGGAAAACTTCAATATTACTGAGGGATCGACATCAACGGAAAGTTACGATTTTAAAACAGATTTTGTTGATGCACTTAAAGAATAAATATTTTGAGTTCAAAAGTGTCGTTTATGAGCTAACACAACATTTTGATTTTCCTAGTCGACAAGCCAATATTAATTGGCATTTTCCATAGTCTTGAGTCCAATAACTTTGAGCACTTCTCCAGCTTTTAACTAAAATCATGTTCTTGACCAGAGTGGTTTCTCTCTGATTCCAGGGAGACCATTTTTCGAAAACCCCTGCTTATAATCATATACAAACCATTAACTTTAATATGCATTGCACAATATATAAAAATGTATACAATAACATACAGGATGAGTTCTATTACAGTGTTATTACAAAAATTTTGGCTAACAATATGCCGGAAAATATTTCTATGCCTATAGAGTAATTCATAACTATGTGATTGACCTACATTTTATGCAGATTTGAATAGGTCATTCAAATTAAGCAATTTGATATACATACTATAGGGTTTCATTTTCAAATTGTTAAGATATTGGGCAAGCTCTTGATTCCCCTTTCTACAAGCTTTTTTTTAAAATACGGTCTATTGAGGATTGTACGATTGGTTTTCGAGTTGGAGCTAAACTATGTTTTTTTATATACCGAAGCATCCGCGCAGGCAGAATCCTAAATGCCGGACACCGCGGCTGCTATGATGATCCCAAAGCTATTTTGTTAATCCGATTTTTTAACTGCCCAAGGTTAGTAGAACTGAGAAAAGCTTGCTCTTGTAGATTGTTCCACAATCTACACACCCTCGGGACAAAGGAGCGGTCGTATCGGCCAGTTCTGGATGTACGAAGTTCGACACGGTTAGGATGGGAGGCTAAAGTCAGGCGGGTCTGTCTGGCAGGTACATCGCACGGCGGCATCTTGGAAGAGAGCTCTGAGGAGCAAAGCCCGTTTTTATAGCGGTAGAAAAGAGCTAGATCGCCGACGGCCCTCCGGTGCGAAATGGTCCCTAGACTACCGAGAAGAGTCATCGATCAGTCGGACAGCCCTCTCCTGGTCAGCATCGACCATAAATAATGTAGTCGGGCGGCAACACCCCAAATTTGTGAGCAATACTCGAGGCTAGGGCTTATCTCGGCCTTGTATAGAGTGAGAAGGTCATGCGGAGAAAAGTACTGCTTAGCACTAAACAAATATCCTAGCTTTTCCCAGCAGCTGCCGCTATTGACGAGATGTGTTCGTGCCAGATTAAGTCCTCGGTGATCTGGACTTCGACCAGCCGAAATGAATGGCTCTGGCCAAACTCGGCCATCCATCGAAACCGGATCAGCGCTAGGACGCTTTTTGTTCGTCAAGGTACAGTACTGTGTTTTGGAAGCATTAAACTGTACAAGATTGTTGCGTCCCCAAGCAGTGATAACCTCCAGGTCTCTCGTCAGAGATGAAGTCGTCGCGAGAGATCGCTAGAGATCGGCTTGTCACTCTTAATTCCTGCATGTAGAGAGCTGTCATCAGCGAAGCTGTAGATTGAGTTGATCGTGCAGGAAAGGAGGTCGTTGATATGTAAGAGGAACAGTGTCGGAGCCAAGACCGATCCCTGTACAACACGCAGGTTGACGTTGTGGGATGAAGAGGAGAACCCGTCATTACGACGGATATATTGCGGCCAGAGAGAGAATCTGAAAAATGTAGTGAAATGCAAATCAATAAAATTCATAAGTACACTCACTTAACGTGCTTGATCCATCATTCCCGCACGTCGAAACTCGAACGAATTCACCATTTCCATTCCTAATATCCAAACCAGTTACAAGTTGCAATAAATATAAAAATATAATTTAATTCAAGTTTCATTGACCGTACATCCAAGAGCTCGTGGAGATTCACACATTTATCTTTATACTGTGCAATCACCATACTACACGTATAACATTTGATGTGCTATTGAGTTTATCTATAATTTATACATTTCTCAATCATCGTACGCAGTTAGATAAATATCTAAGAAACTGAAAAAGAAGCTAGATAGAGACAGAAAATTCAATACTCTACCTATAACATACATCAAATTATTTTGTTTGGAAGTGCATATCCAAATCTACAATAAAATTAAAAAAAGTATGTAGTGCATAGTAATAAATCACCCAGTAAAAAAAATATTTTTCGAATCAGGAGCATCCTACTGGCTGCAATTCAACTTTTAGATTTTAGTTGTTGACCAAGCCGACACTAAAAATTCTCACTGTAATTATGTTGCATCATATACAGTAAAATCTATAAACGATATTTGTATTATATAAAATACAGGGTTTTAATAATGTGTAAAAAAACTGGAAACAATAAAGGTATTTACATGTGAATCTATGCTATAGACGATAAAATCCTATCTTTAAGTACTAAAACTCAATAGGCGGTTTGTAATCTGGTAGAATTTCCCACACTTTCTCTCGCCATTTTCGTTTTTTCATCTCTTTTGCCCTTTCTAGTTCTAGTACCATCTTCAGTGACTTCCATTGATAGAAATAATGAAACACAATTTTTCTGAAAAATATAACTCTTATTATCTAGAGTGATAGATTATCATAGAGTCATAGTAAATTAAAAGTTGAAGGTAAATGTTCTAATGAATTGCGAGGATCTTCTGATCATGAATTTATACTCACTTGCAGAAATGTTTTGCAGCTATTTCAAGTTTTTTATGTTCCAACATAATCTGCTTACACGTGTATCTGTGCCAGTAAATAAATATGTTACTAGACAACTTGAATTCATAATAATCTTCAGCAACTTGTGTATTTCTTGTGCTCTCATTTTTCATCTGAAAATCAAATTGTTTTTACTCTCTAAACATGCAATGCTGGCCATACACCTCTTCCCTGATCGATTTCAACGTGTGCGAGAGAGAGAGTGCACCAAAAAGCGTTCCGCAATGTTCATCACTGACGTTGCCAGGTGACTATACTTGTATTACAATCAGTAAGAAACACCTCTCAATCCACTTTAAATAGAAGAAAGTACGAAATAGGATATAAAGTTGTACCTCTTGCCATATGGAAAATGATATCCTAAGAAGGTATTTCCTATAATGTTCTTCAGCTAAGCTAAACTTAGGTTTATATATGTCTGCAACAAACTCTATCCATTGTCTCATGCTATTTGTTAAAATCGATCTACCATGATGATCTACAGCCAAAGCATATTTTTCTTTACTCTTCAAAGCATTAATTGCGAGTTTTCTGAAACATTGCTCCATTAGTATCCTGTTATGGAATGCTATAGCCTGGTTCAGTTTTTTCAAGTATATTTGCATGTTAGCCTGTCGGATCCTCTCCAATTCGATTTCTTTTTTTCTTTTCTCTTTTAGTATTTCTAAGTTCCTTTTGCGTTCCTCTTCTTCTAACACTTTTTTGCGTTCTATGGCTTCCTCGAGTAGTTTCTGCCTTGTCTCTTCTATAAATCGTTTTCTTTCTGAAACGCAACGGTAGGCATTTAGTTGTATTCTTATAGGTCACACAAACATAGAGAATATAGATGTAGCAGGCTAACAACGGAGGTAAGGTATGTTCGAAAAACGTCAAAGTCGAGTCAATAGGTTCAATAGAGACCTTAGATTCGACCTTGAGCCTCATCTTCAGGGTTGTTTCACGTTCAACTTTTGTTTTTTGAATAGAAAGCGCCCTTTATGATATCGGCATCAAAAGAACTCAAAAATTCACGTCCAACTATGTATTAAATTCTAAAAACAAAGTAAATAGACGAAGTTAGTGTAAGTTTGCAAGTTTCCCAACATCAACAATGAAACTACTCGGAAAATTCAAGAGCGCGGGGGATGATATGCCCCCCTACTTCTCTTATGGACAAGGTCAAAAGAAACAGAATTATTGATGAAAAGGACAGGTCTTCAGCAAGTTTTAACAAAGATTCTAGTGGTGACCTTGAACCCAATTCTGAATCTCACTTCCAAAGTCATTTTTTTAACTGATCACCCTCCTATATTTGACACCGGTAGTAGAATTTTTCACATAGTAATGCGTTCTCGTGTATTATGTAGGATCATGGTCAAATCCAAGGTCAATATTTGAATCCTTGTTAAATATTACTAAAGGTCTACGAATTTTCCCCTAGCTCACACAAGGGCGCCCGCAGGGATTTTTCTTAGGGGGTCCGATCACCGACAGGAGATAACCTTTTGTGAAAGTGTACCTGCTCCAAAAACTTTTTGAATAGCGGGAATTTTGCCATGGGGTCAAATTCTAAAATCCTCAAAATTGTAGATAAAGTCGTATGCTAAATATGCAAATTGTATGGTCCAACCGTATTCCCCGGGATCTCGCTGACCTTGATTCAAGGTTTAATATGTACATTAAAAACAAAAATTTACATTGGAATAACCTTGAAGGTGAAGTTTGTATGTACCTGACCATGAAATTTTCCAAAAATACCTTTTACTTGGAAAAATTCAGTTACTTTTGTTACACTCTGTATGTGAAGAGAATAAAAGTTATTCTTAAGCAGGTATTACACCATTAATTGAAATAATATGGGCCAGATGTTGATTTATAATGATTTCCTTGTTAGCTAAAATATGCGATATGTGATGATAACACAGACTTACCTAATATTATTTCCCTGTTTCTGGCTCTAATCATTGCCCTTTCTTCCATTTGTTGTACAAATTTAGGAGCCTGCTTTGAACATACAGAAAACTTTGGTTCTTGTATTAACAAAGTTGGAATCTTCAGTCTTATCTTTTGAGAACATTCTAAAAACAAAAAGTTCCGAAATTTTCAAACAATTCTCAATATTTAAATTATATGCTTTGATCTGAAAACATAAAATTATAATACACAATATTCACCAGCAAAAATTTCCCTAATATTTGTCTTTGTATTCTCAATAGATTTCATCAAATCTTCCCTAATTATGCCAAGTTCTAGTTCTGCAATAATTTTATTTTGTTCTTCTATTTTGGCTTTCTGCATTTCTATTATAGTCTTCTGTGCACAGTATCTATTTTGGAAGTTATTGTATGATTTTGCTTTTTTGATTTCCTGATGCGTTTTGATTTCCCTTTCAGTTGATTTTGAGCTTTCACTATATCTTTCAGGATTTTCTGAATCTTCTTTCTGTTCTTTTAGTTTTTTTATAAACCTGTCTAATTTCTCTTGCTTACATAATTTTTCTTCTTTCCCTTTTTGTTGCTCAATTTTCTTTTGAACAGAATCTTTCCATTTAGAAAAATATTTTTTTGTTAATTCTGTATTTGTTGTTAAATTCGCGTTGTTTGTTAAATTCGTATTGTGCTTTTCCTGCAGATTGCAAGTTATCTCTTTCACTTTTTGCCGATTGATCTGTAGTAGCTTATCAATAGCACGTTTTAGCTGTTCTTTTTCTACAGATAAGTGTAATTTTTTATTATTTGCGTTTTTTACCTTATCTAGTGTACTGCTTTTGGGATTAGGAACTCCCCAAATATTATTACTTTTCAAGTTCAAAGATTTTACGCATTCCCTTCCGCAACGCGGATTATCATTCAATACACTGTTATTTGCTAGAGTAATATTCGCAAATTTTTCGAGCTCTTCATTCAATAACTCCCTGCGAAAAAATGCAAATTCCAAATACAATTTAAACAAATACAAATAATGTTGAATTATGAACATATTATATACATATACATACCTTTTTGCCTTTAAAACAGCATAGTCGCATTTTAAAATATCCTCCTCAGATTTTATATCCTCTTCAGCATTTGCCATTGTCAAATAACTGTAAATATAACTGCATAGGTGATTGTAGTTCAGATCTGCGGGTTTGTCATTGCAGAAGGAAAATGGGAAAATGCATTGGTTGCTAGGCGGTTGTTAAGGAAATTTGGCATTCAAACTTTCCGCCGCAGAGTCGTCATTCGTAATTACCTAGGCTGCCGATTGTAATATTTTGGCGTAAGATTTAGATACTTTCCGGAATTCAAGGATTACAAGACGACATGCGTAAGGTGTTAGTTAATGATAAGCCACAATCACAATTGTGCATTCCAACGCCGAATTTGAGTAGAAAAGTTCATATAAGCATGTGTCTTAGTAAGTTTAGCTTTAAAAAGATACACTAACCTTTCTAAAGTATATATAGTAAATAAAGAAGCTGCTGTGACAAATTTCTCATGCATGGTACTACCGTATCTCATTTTATCTCTCTTATCAATAATTATGAATTCTGGGGGGAGTCAGTCCCACGGATAATATTGACAAAAAAATGTACACTGGAACTTTGAACAAATATACATATATTATTATGAATTATTTTTTAATGCTCCAAAAGAAGTCGAATCTACATGAATTTATCAAATCAGTTGAACCATGGCACTAATTACCGTAATCTACCTAAAGATAGCCAAGCATATAATGTCTTCAAGTGCTCAAAGTGGGTTCTGAAAGATCCTGGCGCTACATATGAGAGTAGCAGAATACAAAACTAAATTTAGAAGTCTTCTTGGAAATGAGTTTGGTTTTGATATTGTTTCATAGATGGTGCTAGGATATTCAAACCCTTTTTGGCGCCTTTATGTCTATTTTGATTACGTGTCTTGAGGTGAAATACATTAATCAACGCCTGAAGCTCCCAATCAAAATAGGCATTAGAGAGGTGCCAAAAAGATATTGAAGATCCTAGCCCCATCTATGCGCAACCCAATAATTATTTAATCACAGTATTATTATAGCACCGTGGGTGCTCTGGCATTTAGGCTTTTTCCTGCGTAGTTGCTTCGGTGTGAATAAATAAAAAAGCACTAAGCAAATCTAAACTAAGACGAACACTCTTAAGAAAGTGAATCGAAATGCAGTAAAAGCACGATGGAAATGCTTTATTTATATAATCTTACTCATTTCGTTCGGACCAGCGACTGTAGGCCGTGAAGTAGATATTTCAGTTATATCCCGGGGTAAAAGGTAGCCTATGAGCTAGAACTATATTCTCTAACTAACTCTACCAAATTCCATCCCGATCCATTAAGCCATTTTGGCATGATTGTTTAACAAACATCCACACTTTCTCATTCATAATATGAATAATGATAATACCCACTAAATAATTGCAATATTCTGAAGTCCATTTTTCTTTGAGATTTTTGATTAACCATATCACATATTATTCAAATTATGTACTTTTTCTGTATACAATGTGAATTTTATCTTTATAGTCTGGCAACGCTGCTCTCCGTAATCTTTGAAGCTGGACAAACGTCACCTTGACACATGTCAAAAAATAGAAATGGTGGTTATGAATGGAGGTGAGTTGGGAAGATTTGTAAACAATTTATTTCAAATATTACGCAATATGGAGGTATGAAATTGAAAAATGTATTATCTTTGATACAGTACAATTGTAATATTAATTATTCACCCTACGTGTTCTTTACATTTCGATGTTGCATCTCATTACCCGAAGAATGGACTCTTCTTGAACTGCAGTATGTTTTTTTTACTGTCAACGATGCCAATAATTTTCAATTTATACTGTCATTACGAAATGTTTAAAAATAACACCTACATTTTCAGCCCGATATCAACTGAACCCTGTTTGACAGAAATGTACCTATATCCATTAACTTAAGATGGACATGATAGTAGAAGGGCCCCCAGATGACAGGGGCCCTATACAAGACATTAATATTGTGGATACGACCAATTGGAATACCCAACACCCAACGGCGATTGTAAATAGTAATGCTAATACCCTTTTGTACATAGCTGTGAGTATTAAACAAATATTTATTTTCTAACAAAATTGTATGCTTGCATTTTTGAAAATGGAATAGGGATATTTGTTTCATTATTCTGCCAATTTTCCTACTCTGTAATTCTCTAGCTTAGCTACATCAGTTTTTGATGAAAACATGGTTTCAGAACCTAGTTTTTGGTTGTAGATGAAAGAAACGGGACTGAAAATGAGCGCAAATGTGAAACTTCTGAAATATTTTGCTATATAATAGGTTTTTATTGAATGTTTGTTTTCATAGATTGTGTGTTGTTGTTAGATTTTGTTACTTCATAGGCTTTTATGTTGATGGATATTTTTAGGAACTAAATTTAAACAAATTCTAGAGTAAAAGGAGAGATGCATTTATATCTTTTAAAACCTAGATAATATAAAAAATATACTGCAAATAACCCATTTGCGGGCAATTTTAATCTCATTACAACTGAAATCTAGTGTCTATTTGGATGGAGAAACAAACAAGGCTTAGCAAGAGTATCACCACCTACTCGACTGCTGCACTCTGTTTGAACTACTTTGGTTATTAAACAAGTAAACATAGCCTTGATGGATAAAACTAATTACAAAGTTCATCATTATATATATATATATATTTGTATATAGTAACATATTGGCTTTACTTTAAATATATTTGTGACATTTGAATTCAGATTGTGAACAACTTTGCTTGCAGTTATATTCTTCGGATAAACTACTGCAAAAATCTTTAGTTTTGAGTCTAGCTCCATTATGAATTGAAAAAATGTTGTTCTGTTAGGTTATGTTCCGGAGAGGGCTAGCTCAGTCTGTTATTTTTGAACTCTGAAGTGAGCTAGACATCCACTGACTTGAGACCCTCATCTCTGTTGAGACTATCTCACTTCACTTGCAGAATGAATGCAACTATAGCTTACATAAATACTACCATTAGAGTAATATTAAGTATACACTAGCAGTGATTTTCAAACAGTCCACAATGACCAAACAAATTTTCAAAAGAGTCTGTCACCTGTATGTCTCATAACTGAATCGGTTAACTCTTTCAAATCGAAGAATAGAACATTGTAGTCAGAATAGACTTATCGTTATTAAAAAGAAACTGCACTCTTAGTTCACTGCACTACCTTTGGTACTAGTAGCAACCTAAACAACAAAGATTCAATTTAACTATTTATCTAAAACAATTTACAGGCATTATTTTGCACTAGTTGATGCTTATCAGTCATGAATGTATGTTTTGTATGAGTGTGAAATAATTTGGCTGGCCCCCATTTACAATTTGCAAAGTTGCAGAGTTAAACTAATAATAATGTTTTTGTGATAGTAGTGATTTTATTGTTTTCAAGAAATATCTGTTATCATTATTATAGACAAGACATACTTTTTTCCATGAAACATTTCAAAACTTAAAAAAGTGTCTACTATAAAGTACTTATCATATATCTCAGGGAAAATTGGGACGGGACCAGACTAATAATGAAGAAGGCAAACAGTAGGCTGCTTAGAACTCTTCTACTCATGTTTTACTTGTGCAACAACAAATTTCACTATTATTTTTTTCGCATCATTTTGCCTCGGTGGTCATGCAACTTGATTAGCCTAAAAAATATGTTGTGTAGGAGTTATAAGCAATAACCTTGAGTTAAAAATGGACTGTATTGAAGTTAAATTACAAAAAGTTGATAAACATGTCATAACTGTGTTATTTACACGTCGCCATGATATCTCATTACAAAATTGAAGTGGCGTGCGGATTTTTGCTTGAACAGATTCCGCGCGCATGGAAAACTGTAATTTTTTAGTAAGTACATAGTGAGTGGATCTCCCGATACTTCTTCAAGTGTCCAAAAATTCTGATCTTGAACGTGTAAATCACTATCTACAATCGATAAATTGCATACTGGATTTATATTACGAGTTTGAATTGGATCTCACAATCTCCGTCCGACCTGAGTTAGCAACAGTGGTTTATTTTTACCTAAATGTATTTGATTTGAGCGTAGAACCTTAAAAAATACACATGCACCTAATAGCACGTCGATAGATTGACTTACATTGCAGTTTCTGTCCGCCAGCTACACATCTGCAGGTAGCTTTAGATCCGAGAGAGTGAAAGATATCTGTAATCGTCAGTAATACGTTTCACAACAAAAAATGTTCTTTGGTTGAATAATTGTTATTTTTAGATGGAGCGATGGTTTTTACTTTGGTCGGTACATTTTAAGTTACCCCAGTAATACGAGCAACTGAGGTGTTTGAATGATAGTGTCGTAAATTTAAATTTCTTGCCAATGTTTCGGTTATGAAATTAATTTGAGACCAGCACGGGTATTACTTATCTTAAAAAGTGACGTTTTGTCGTGTTTTTTACATTTCGTAGGTTTTTTTGTGACATAACGTGGGATGTTCTAAAAGATGTTAACTTAGCACGAGCTGTTGTGCACTTGCTGTGAACTCTTTTTTTAGCTGTACGTGTTTCTTAAACGTAGCGAGCAAACGTGGAATGAACTATTTGCACACAAAAACTACCTAGTCTGCCAGATGACATTTAGCAGTTTTTTTACGTTTTTTACATTATACCTCTGCCGCTATCCTACTACAAGTGCGGCAACTGCTGGACTTGCAAACATTAGCAAAGTAGCCTGGTCTCAGGCAATTAATGCATCGCAAAAAGAACAATGAACAAAACGAATCGTTTTAATGTGTGTCAAAGGTGTTTTTCCTTTTCCTTGTATGTCTGGTTCCAAAAGCTCAAACTGCTTTTCCAAAAAATTGAGTAACCGTTATGTCATGCAATTAAAGACCTTTAATACTTTGCTTCCACTCATTTTTTGTGTTGAGATCAAGTTTTGAAACAATAGAATCGACGCAGATAATTTTAGGAGCCAAGCTAAGCGTAGAATCGATGACATTGCCGCAGACATAAAATCACAAATAATTGTGGTGTGGGTCGGTGCGTGCGTACATGCGTGGATGCGTATGTGATATGCTGATGATATGAATTGAATACTTGCTGTGTGCGAGTTTTTGGTGTGTTCTTAGCCTACCAGTTCCTTTCTTCGTATATGAGTACTTCTACCAATATGTCTTGAGGATATGCTTGAACTGAATACCTGCTGTGCGTTTTTTGGCGTGTTTTGTAGTCAACCAGTTGATTTCTTCATATATCAGTGTTTCTAGCTGTGTTTGCTTAGATTAAATGCTTGATGTGTGTACTTTGGCGTGTATTTTACCCAACCATATGGCGCTTCTGAGTTCGCCGCCGTTTTCCACGGGCTGTGCTGACTTCTGCTCGTTTCACCAACTTATGTAGGAGTTATAAGCAGTAAACTTGGGTTCAAAAATGGACTGTATCGATGTTTATTACAACAAGTTGTCATAACTGTGATGACGTCTCCATGTTATCTCATTACAAAATTAAAGTGGTATGCAGATTTTAGCTTGAACATGTTGATTCACTCAGCCACTCTTTCAATTCTGCGAATTGCAAATTCTACCAACAATGGATGACCAAAGCAGTGTCCTTGAAACTTTCTTTACATCTGCTCCTTCAAAGATTTCAGTCACTTCTTGTTATTATTGCCAATATGAACATTATCCTATTAAGCATTTCTCACTAGTATAACCCACATTTAATTCATTTTCAGGTTGAATATGTTAAGGACGCACCTAATAGTGCACCAACTCAACAAGAAGTCTACTCAGACTTTGACCCTCATGTCAGTCCTTTGGACCCAAACATGAGCTCAGTAGCTCGATACAGTCCTGTTTATAACGAAGCTGTGTCTGAGTACAACCCTGTGGTGATTCACCAACTGGTCTCACAGGATGGTACTGTTCAGAATGAACAATACATAAACAATTTGAACACTGCTCCATTGGAAAATATGCCAACTGTTCTTTGCAATGGAAGTGTGCCTGATGTTAGTAACCAGTTTCTTCAGATGGTGGGGCAAACTGACAACAATCTCAATGGAAGTAGTGGAGGGGCATTGCAGGTTAATGGAGAAAGGGAACAAGAGGTGGAACTACTTATCACTGATGAAGCTACAGGTAATCTAGAATATTTCCTAAAGATGTCAGAATATGTAATTTTATAAATTCAAATAATTTCATCATAAATAGTACAGTATATAACTTGATATTTTGTTGCTTAAATTCTCCTGTCTATTGGTCCTATTAACCAACTTCTTGTCTGTGTTAAGGTTCATAAAACCTCACAAATAATTTGTGTTCCTAAAGGTGAGACTTTCATTTGCGTAACACATAGCTTTTGTAAGAATAAGCAAATTTTCCATGTAACACATACAGTACAGTTATTAGGTACAAAAAAGTTTGCAATGACAAACTCAATACTGCACCCACCAAATGATTAGGCAAAACGACACAATGTGCGTATTCAACCTAGGCACTGCCCATCGTTTAGGTAAACTGAACTGTTTGTTTATAGATCGGATAGAAAAAACGAAAAGTGTACCATAGCAATAAAGAACTTATGGATTTGTTGTGTTGAGTGACTTCAGGGTGTTGCTGATACTGATGCTTCTCATGAGCATTCAGATTGCTTACATGGGAGACAATTGTTCAGCACAGTAGAATACAATGCTCCCTGCGGAGCGATCCCAGATGTATCATAAAAACTTAATTTAGACTTTAGAGATGAGACTGATGGTCGACGCGACGGCGAGACGTCTGCACTTTTCTGTCGTGCATGACTCTGGGAGCGAGTTTTTTATCATTGTTTAGGAATACAGTTCTCTGAAACGAAATAGAACCACGTCATCCCGCGTCGCGTTGGTTTGGTTACCTAATACAAAAAATCTTTTCTAGGAATTTCGAGGTGGGCATTGAATGTTGTAAATTAAGCAACGGAACGGCGACATGTGATGGGACATCATTTAAAATTTCTCTTCCAAATGAATGTCTCAATTTTGAGAACACACAGTATGTGGGGTCTGATTCTAAATGAGTTTCGACTGTTGAAATTGATTTCAATGGCGCCTCGTGACGCTGTACTTAATTCGCTATGATAATTTTGACACTGTCATAATTTGAGTATAGAAGATCGATATAATCAGATGTCAAAATTGTGGTCCAAGGTGCAATCAGAATTAGTTTCAACCGTCGAATCTACAGGCCCATGGAAGCATATAGATGTCTTTGTGATTTTCTCCAGCTTACTGGCCTAAACATATTCGGGCCTTGTAAGACTTTCTCGAAACAATTTTATTATTTTTTAGGCATATCATATAGCGTTAACGCACAAGAACTCCTGGTCGAGCGATGTCTTTCTGATCAACAACTTCTAGAATCACTTGCTCCAGATCCTCTATTAGAATCTGAGCTACTTGCCTTGGATGACAGCACCTTAAAATCGGAATTAAACGATGATATCGACATATCAGCCGCTTCTGCAGTCTCCGCCGCTCCTGTGAGAGCTCCTTCCAGTAATTTTATAAATGCTTATGCTTCTGATGCTAATGGAGAAAGTAACGGACTTGTCGATTCTTTTAGGGTAGAGACTAGGAACAGTCGAAAGATGGATGTTGACCCTGAAGACGATTTATGTGAGTATTTCAATAAGATATATAGTCAGTGACAAAGAAAATATAACACCTCGGAACATATGATTTTTTATTTTACTGAAGTTTTCTGTGCAGTTACACATGAGCGAGAAAAAGTCGTGGTTAAATTTTGAAGTGGGGATATTGACGGTATCACTAGATTTCGCTAAGAATGTGTTGGGTCACCTTGATGCCATACACATTCGTCCAGTCGTCGGGTCATGCCCTTGGTGAGATGATTTTTGTCTTTTGGAGTTATATTATCCCAAGCTAGCTGTATACATAAGAGCTGGTAACGTTGGTAGAGGATCAGGTAAAGAGGTTGATCTTCTTCCCATCATATCCTACGCATGTTTGATTGGCAAATGGTCTAGAGATCTAGCAGCCAAAAAAGGAGGTTGATTTGACTGTTATTGAGGTATCCACTGTAGCTCTAGTAATATGGGGACGGCCATTATCTTATTTGAAAATAAGGTTCTCAAGGATTTGGAGAAATGGTAAAAGGTCTGGTTTTTCTGGGATATACTGTTGCGTCATCCTCCTTGTAGTGTTCGACTATTATATATTCAGCTAATAAATCCATTTTTAAAAGACTGCAAATTTTACAAAACAAGTGGATGATAATAACACTGAATAGAGATAAATGTACACCAATTAGATAAACACGATATTGTAATGATTCATTTATAAAGTAAAAAAAATAATATATTTCCACCATGTGTCACCAAATTATCATCATAAAATGCTGACCATCATTTACATAATACCAGAAATAAGACTTCCAATTAATGTCCAAGCTGTTACAAATCTGTATTCCATCAATGGTTGATTGAATATAATAAATTAAATACAGAAATGAAAGACCAGAATACTTTGACAAAATTCACCTTATCCTCCACAAATGATAACAGCTTTTTGGAATCAAGTACAGCTAGCTTGAGATGAGATATCTCAAGAAGACATAAATCAGCTCATCTTGCTCATTCCTAACTATAGACAAAATTTCATTCAAATATAATGATTGCTACTGGATGTACTTTTCTCGTATGCTTTTTCAGTGTCTTGTGTATACACGATAACAGACAAACCAATTTTGACGAGAGCCAGAGCTTCCTTACCAGAGCCTTATTTAGTAATAGGACAAGCAAATGAAGGTAATATTAGCATAATAGGAGTATTTCAGGAGCTAAGTTTCCTTTGTCTTTCAGAAAATGCTGTTTTTGCAAAAAAAGCTATCCCAAAATGCTCCCAGTTTGGACCATTAGAAGGTGTTTTGCTTCTAAACAACGAAGTTACAGAAAAGGATAAGGCTGAATCCAAGGACTCTTTGTTGTTTCTCATTGAAAATGATTGTGTTGTTTATAAAATGGATGTGTCAGATGAAAGTAATACCGTCAAAGATTGTAGCAATATTTGATTTACTCACAACTTGGTGTGATTTTAGATACGTCAAATTGGATGGGTTTTGTAAGAAAAGCTCAGAGTTTTGAGGAACAAAATCTGGTGATATCTCTAGTGCATGGTGCCATTTATTTTACTACTACAACTAATATACTTCCGAAGCAGGAGCTAAAGGTTAGTACTACTATCTTCGAGGCCTTATATTATGCAAAGACTTCTCTGATGTTCGAAAATGTTTAGAAATTAAACTGTTATGATAAAATTATGAATATGTGGCCACGCTTCCAGGTTGGATACAGCACATCATATGCACAATACTTTAGTCTACCAGTACTTCAACCTCCAGAACCTGAGCCCTCTTGGCCTTGTTATGAATGCCCACAAAAATTCATCAGTTCTGAAGAGCTTCAGAATCATCTGAACGTTCATGATGTGAAAGATGAAAATATCAAACCGAAATTGAGGAGGATCTTGAAAAATCGTAAACGCCCATTGAAAAAATATTATACCGAAGCCTTGGAATGTAAAATTTGTGAAGAACGATTTTATCAGTATAGTTACAATACATTGAGGAGTCATTTGAGTGACAAGCACAAGTTTTGCAAGGGGTTTGTGGAAGACCACTTCACTGTGTTTTTGTAAGTAATTTAAATGAAAATAGAACTAAACTTTTCCTTCTTTGCTTCAGCACTAGAAATGAGTAATAGCATGAATATAAAAGCTAGTGGTATACCTTTTTTCTTTTCTTTTTTTTATACTCCAACTACCACGAAGGCCTAAGGCCTTAACACCCGTGGGGTACCGTGGTGCTCTAGGAGGAAACAGGGGAAAGGGGGCACGTCACGCGGAGTCTGGCGAGGGAACACATGTGCATGCAACCTGCACACATTCTCACCCCGCTTACGATATCCGCCAGGTAGTACATCCGCGTTCGACAGTCTGAGACCGTCTACCACCTACAGGCAATCACAACATCCATAGCCAAGAGAAAAAATTCTCTTGGGACGGGATTGGTATCTCCAATTGCTCTCTAGTTGCACCACGCCGCCTTGTGATCACACACCACGGTACTACCGTGCCAGGACAGTAACATGTATATAATTTTTGGATGAGCGCATCCTTTCTCTCAAGCGGTTGACTAAACATACTCACTGTTGCGAATGTGCTCATCAGAAAAATCGTCTTAAGGTTGCCTACCAAATTTTCATAGGAATAAATCACGGCCTTTTTTTTTTATTACCAAGAATATTCCAGTAGTCAATTGTATGAGGTGTACTCTCGTATAATGGGTCACGAATACTATAGTCAACGCCAAACAAAGTGGCGTGCACGTCATCAAGGTGGGTGTGTTGAAAAATTTACATTGTTGCCAAACTTTTTGTAAAATAATAAAATTTATTATTTACATATCTAGGTTTATAAGCAATATTAACCTCAAATGAGAACAAAAATAATAGTATAATAAAATTATAGATCTGTACTTGCATAATCATTAAGTAGTTATTTTAAGAATAGGAATAAACAAAAGAAATATAAACTGTCGACCAAAATATATATAATTAAGAAGCATTATGTACCGAGCAACAATACTCAATAGCTCTGTTTTAAACATTGTGTTTAAAAATGGTATGTTTTGATTTGTCAACCAGTCTTGGATATTTTTTTTTGTCCATGCATTGTTGGGCACTTTGTTCAATATCATGCTGTGATAAGGGGCGTTATCCAGTATAATCATAGATGGACTCTCCAATTTTTCTAATAACTGATGTTGAAACCATTTCAAAAAATTGTCCTGGTTCATCTCTCCATGGTAATCGCTCAATTTTGTTTTCGAAGAAAATATCGCTTCACTACCCTCAATAAACCCATTTTCATTTCCAGCATGTAATATAATGTATCTAAAATATATTAGTTTTAAATTTTATAGCGCAAATTGTGTAAAAGTACATACCTTTTACCATCTGTTTTAATAGCTTTCACGCTTTTTTGGTTTCCATTTTGCCAAGAGCGACCTATGGCCCCATTTTGAAATATCCAAGTTTCATCGAGGAAGACAAACTGGTATAAGGCCTCAACCTTGGCTTGATTGTATTGCCTTAGAAATTCCACCCTTTTCAAAGCTATACTTGGTAGTTCCATGAGCCCTCGTCGCGGATTGTCCTTAAGCCACTTAAATCCAAGATCTCTAAGCAACCGCCTTAAAGACGTGGCACTACCATCAAATAATGCCCTATCTCTTAATCGAGACCATAAAGTTTGTATCGTAACTTGTTCTTCTGAAACCATGTGTAATATGACATTATAATTTAGTTAACAAATTAATGCAAATTTCTGATAAGTTATTATAATAAGATCTTACTTTTGTGATACATATTATAGATCACTTCTCGAAAGGCACTTGTATCCAATGTCGCTGTGTTGGTTACACGTTTAATATAACTCCGCTTTTTCTTGGGCGATTCTAAATTTGCATCACTTTTCACACCCTCGGAAATACGACTAACTGTCCTTAAACTAATTTTTAAAGCAGCAGCAACACGCTACAAAAAATGAAATAAAATTTCACTATTATTAATATACATTACATATAATTATTAGTAACCTACCTCTTGAACAGCATTTAAAGGCAACAAAGGCCCGTTGTTGTCCCTTTCTTGCTCAAAGTAGTGCATTAACGAGGCCACGAGTTCCTTACACCGACTATTTAACTGTTTGGGCATCTTTATATACCAAAATTGCCTTTATCTACTCGTAAAATGAATAATTTTGTTTTGAAACAAACAGTTGTTGATTTACAGTATGCGGGGCCAAAGGATTTATAAAGATTTGAAATGCCACAAATTGATTCAGTGTCAAAATTAATACAAATGTCAGTTCCCAGTTTAAATAAGTTTCAAGGTGACAATGTGTCAACGCTGCGAAATCGGTTTAGTGCGTTTACATGTCGATAAGTGATTGGAGCGTTTGCAAAACATTTTATTTCGCATAATGCGTCTAAATTTATCAGAAAGCAACTTATGTGATATTTTAATAACAATGTTTATATGACTATTAACCATAATAAGAGAGTAATGACCATTTTACAATTTATATATCACATTAATATGAAACTGCAATAGAGCAATTGTTTGTGATAGAAACCTAGGCATTAGGTCGGGGAATGTTTATCGTGATGACGTGCACGCCACTTTGTTTGGCGTTGACTATATCTGTGTTGCAGTGTGAATCATTTTATTATTGTTCCATCAGGCATAATTTAAATATGACAAAGAAAATAAATTGAATATTTATTATCCTTACAGCATATTAGTATGAGCAATTCCAGCTTAATTCGTAATTTTTGAATGGTTAAGATACAAAAAATTGTCTTCATCAAACAAAATCAATGGTGGAATACCTTATATAAGAAATAATATGACACCTTGTTTGTATGCCATCCAGTTATCCTAAATAACTGTCTATGTTGTGTGTGATCCGAGTAGATTCTTGGCTAAAAGCAAACATCTAGTTGAATATTACATTGTAATTAATACTGTCATATCATTTTCATTATATTAATTCAGTATAAGAACAATTTATAATAGATTTATTGGGGCTTGCTTAGTTGCTTAACAGAATCTCGTGCCGCTTAGACGAGGAAACGTAAAATTACCATTTATAACGCAAAGGACCTTTCCTAAGAAAAAAATTGATTAAAAAGCAAAGGTCACACTTAAAATTTCAATTCGCCCTTTTCAATATTCAAACCTGATTTGTGTCCACTGCTTTGCAGTTTTAAATATTAGGAATCAAGTTTTGTTAGCAAACCTGAGAATGGAATATAACACTAAAAAAACTAGAATGAAAAATTCAAAATTATCTACAACTGTCCAGGTAAAAGTCCAATGTCGAGGTGCATGCTCTTTTGCAATGCCGATGACTATGTTATATTTTTAATTGTATAAAAAGGGAAGTTCTTATCCAGCGTAAACTGTTTTTTGCTATGTGGAATAAATAAAATTAAAGAAATACTTCTTTAAAAACTCGCTTTTATTTAGCTATTCGTGAACTCAACTAAAAGCTTAAAAATATTTAATATTTAAATAAGAACACATTTTCCATCCTGCTGTAAAAACGTAACTAATTTTTGGTATATTTTTTGAACAGCTAAATGATAGCTTATTTTGTATGTGTTCTTTTATTTATATATTTTTGGTATTTATGATATCAAATAACTAGTTTGGTAATTTCTATGTAACTTTCATATATTCTATTGATACGGCTCCATGAAACTCTTACTTTACTTATATATAAATTTCGAGAGATATACGTATTATAATGATGAATCGATATTTTGCGGCGATCGCCATATAAAATTTAAAGTGACGTTATGTGCTGATTGTGTTTCCCTCATCAAACCCTTTCATTTGATACCCATCTAGTGGTACTATGGAAACGATGAATTGCCATTTTGTAGCATCCGCCAAATTTGATTCAAAATGGCGACAGTTAATTCATTTTGTATTGTCCCCCAAACCAAATGCATCTACAACATTTCAGCTCAATCAGATAAGGTTAACTGGTTTAAAGTTGTTCTAAGATTTAATAATATCAAGTTAAATAAAATCTTGTATAAGACCTTCACCATTTTTGGCAATAATATGGAATAGTGGAACTGTATGGAAATCCCCGCAGTGTTATATGCATACACAGAAAATAGTAATTTTCGTGTTAATAACTATCAGACTTGTAGTGTACACTTGTATCCTGACTACTGAGTCGGTAGGGTGGATTGAAACAAATCGCATGCTAGCTCCAACCTAGTTCGAATTCGTTGGGCAAGATAGTAATAATAAAATCTCCCTATACCGTGTTTTCCAGAAACTATGAATGCGAGACGTGCAGCACCAGTTTTAAGTCAGAAGCGCTGCTGAAGATCCATAATCTGGAACATGACCCAGACTCTGCCGACGAACAGTTCAATCACGTATGTCCCGCGTGCCAGAAGAAGTGCCCCACGCAACGGCAACTGGTTGCTCACGTCATGCAACATGCACTTCCCAAGTTGCCACAGACCAATAGGGTGAAGTGCCCGATTTGCTACAAGATTTTTGCCCTTCGGGAACGCCTTCAAGTCAGTATTACTATTGAATTTTTCAAAGTGTTATTAAAATTCCGCCCATGTGCCGGCAAGGTCTCGGCCATTACTAACCAGCCAGCCGCAGTATTTCGGTGAACATTTTTTAGTGCTTTCGATCTCCTTTAGGTGTTTTATAAACAGAACAAGATCACTCCTTAATTAGAGGTCAAACCTGACTCCTGGAAATTGTTCTAACAAATAACAAAATGCGGTCAGGCACTAGATTCCTAGTAGCCTTATAGAGGCTACAATATGGATTTTGAATAACTACTCTACCTACTTTAGGCCAGGGAGTAGGGCGATTTCGCATCTGATGGCAAAAATATTCTGATTCGGATCTTTTGCACAATTTTATTCAAAAAAGGACCCCTTTTAACGAATCTGCATGTTGCCAGGCCCAAATTTGCGTAAAATTATATTTTTAATAATTTTCTTCATACACATTCCAAAAATTCCGTTCAAACAATTATAAGGTTTCTTAGGACATTATGGACAAAAAAGGTTCTTTAGAACACTAAAATTGATAGTTTTTGAGATATAAGCGACACAATATTTGAAAAAGTTCAAAGTATGCCATTTTCGACCCTCGAAGGACAATATGAAAAAAATTTAATGTTACTGAACTTCCTAACCATTCTTCAAATATCCATTAACTAAATCTCTATGCACTTCAGGATGTATTGTAACGCGCTTGATTAACAATTAAAAACAAAGGTTTATTATAACAGTACCTCCTGAATTACTTTGGGATTTTGTTAATGGATGTTTAAATAATATCTAGGAAGTTTGACAGCTCCAAAATTTTAGTTTATTCATATGTTTTTTCGGGGTCGAAAATGGTATGTTTTTCACGTTTTCATATGTTATCTCGCTTATATCTTAATAAGTATCAACTTTAAAGAAAAGCTCTCAAGCACATTTTTTTGTTAAGAATGTCCTAAAAAATCCTTTGAACGGAGCAAAATAATATTTTAGGAATTTGTTTAAAAAAAAATAAAAAAAAAACGATGCAAATTTGGGTCCAGCAACATGCAGATTGTTAATGGCGGACCATTTTGAATAACATTATGTAAAAAAATTTAATGAGAATATTTTCCCATCAGATGCGAAGCGTGGAGTATCTGTAGTCGTTGGTTACTATAGTTTAGCGTTTATAAGTGAAAATCTAATTATTGTAACTTTTTCGTTAAATTTCTTGTAAACTGTTGACCGTACTCTAAAATTATATAAAACCAATCGATGGCGAATTTCATTGATCATGTCAGCTTTTTACGTAATATGGATAGCATGCGGCTAAAGTTCCGACTCGATAATGACACCAACTTGGATTTATCATTATAAAGCAGATTGCTAATGTAACAATGAAATAATCCTGTTACACTTTTTGAATAAAAATACTTATTTCCTAGTGTACATATTGCATGTAATATAATATACCCGTATCTTTCAGAAACATATGTTGGTACACGGTTCCGAGGAGGCTAAACCACTGCAATGCAAAACATGTAACAAACGTTTTTTAAACAATTCTGCCTTAGCGTGTCACGTGAAAACCCATTTTGCTGGCAAGAAAGTGTTTGAATGTCCCATTTGCAAGGAGAGCTTTGACCATGTCCTCAAGCTAAAGCTGCATGTACCCAAACATTGCCAGGTATTATGGATTTCATTTTATTATCTTTTTTCCTAAGGACAAGGAATCTTATAAATGTGACAAATAATGTTATTAGGTATATCAAAAGGAACTCCTTAGATTTATTTTTTCTCTTGTCAGGATAACAGTTACACGTGTCCTCACTGCATGAAAGTTTTCAAGAAATACAGCATTATCAGAAAACATATCAGGGCGTTTCACTGTGACCGAACTCATGACTGTCCGCATTGTACCAAGAATTTCCCGACTGTCGATAAGCTTAGGATGCATCTGTTGAGACATTCTGATCATAGAGAATTTTTATGCGCCGATTGTGGAAAGCAGTTCAAGAGGTAACATACCTGAAGATGATTGGTTACGTCATTTTTTGGGTTAACAAAGTGACCTAAGACTCGTACGAGTTATAAAGGGTGTCCCATTTTAATCTCCTCACCTAAATTTAAGCATTTTATAAAAAAAAGTTTCTAACAAAACTTGTAGGGTTTCGAGAAGGAAAATGATGGTGACCTTGACAATGACTTTGACTACGACCTTCAACATCTTCAACAGTTTTCAGAAATCTGGCCTAAAATGACAATTGGATTCAATCACCTTATATTATAAAAATAATTTATAACTATATTTTTTAATCGTAGCTGCACTAAAATGGCAAGTACACAGAGGTCGAGATAACTCGTAGTTGGCGTCCTAGAAAAGAACGCAATCTAAGAGTTATCTCGTAGTTGGCAGTTAACGTGTTAAGGTTATTTCTTTCTTTTTCACGTCGGAATTGAAAAGGGGGGCAAATTGCAGACCGAACATTAACATTTCAAAGTCATATCAAGACATCAAAAACAATTTGCTCTAGCAAAAATGTTTGACAGCACAGTTGTGAGCTTTGTAGCGATCTCGCAAAGGTGTCTTTGACCATTATCTTGGCCATGACCTTCAGCATCAAGTCGAAATTTCCAAAGGAAACCCCTCATTTTTATAATGGAAATCGAAAAAGCAGAAAATTTCACGTCAGAATGTAACCTTGACCTCAAATAACCTTTAAGCTTAACACGACCTTGACTTTGAAGTCGAGGTCACATTCGGACGTAAAGTTTCCTGTTTTTCCATTCCCAGTATATAAAACGGAGGTTTCTTTTCGAAACTTCAACTTGACCCTGAATTTGAAGTGTTGCCAACCGTACAGTTTTTAAAAAATCTTCCAAGTTTTCAGTTCGGGCCTATAATTGATCTTACAATGTCGTTGACATTGGTGTGAAATATAAATTCTAATTGAGATATAATAGTGTATTTTATTCACTGTTACCAGGTCTACCGATTTTTCGGTAGTCGTATTCTACCGAACTACCAATTTTAATGAGAAATGTAAGGAACGTTTTTTCAAATTCTTAAATAGTATATTTCTGATATAATTTAATGAAACAAACACAAGAAGAGTACTTTGCCCGTGCTCTTTAATTTTTTAAATGTTCAAAATCGTGTGCTGCTCGAGCAAGGTGCCTCCCTCTTCAATTTTCAACCACCGGCAAGTTTTTGCCTCAATATCTACCAAAATTTCGCACAAGTTTACCGAAAACAGATCGACTATACCAGGTAACACTGATTTTATTTCGGACCTACCCTTAAGAAAATCTACTTTGAATCAAATTCTTTTTGCAGCGGTTCTGGTGATATGAAAATAACAGTTCAATTAAAATTTTGTCATTTTTATGTGACTCAAAGTTAACCAGAATCAGAAGCGCTGCGAAAAGAACTTGATTGAAGTTTAGTCAGAAGTGTGCTATTCGTAAGCAATATACTATTTTTCACGAGTATCTATCGCGGAAAAATGTCAAAAAATGACAGCTGATCATGCATGCAAAAAACAAATTCTTTTTGAGCGGTTGTGGTTCTGGTTGGCCTTGAGTGAATTTGAAAAATTTGAATGGAAATTCTGTAATTTTTATGTCACTCAAGGCCAATCAGAACCACAACCGCTCAAAAAGAATTTGCGTAAGCAATGCAAATCTGTCACTTTTTCACCTTGGCCTCGGTAGATTCTCGTGAAAAATACTGTTAATTAGATTTACAGTTTTTTAAATAATATTCTAAAGTTATCTACAGTTTTTTCAAGCTCATATGCAGTTTTTCTCCAGGATGGGATTGGCAACGCTTATTCATAACTTATGATCAAGGTCATGGTCAAGTTTACCTTTGGGTGATTCCACATACCTCACAAGTATGAAGTCGAACATTTTTACTAGAGCAAAATGTCATCATTTGACCTTGAAAGCAATGATCATGGCCAAGGTGATATTCGTACGCAAAATTTGGTCCTCTGTTCAATTCCGATGGGGTCTGTGGGCCTATAACTAGGCTATATCTGCCTCTAGGTGGATACACCACTGTTTTACAGGCTTCAAAAAAGGAACTGAGTGCCTGTAAGATTTTACTTCGAGCCTTATATTGCAATGCAGGGAGGCTTTGGCAGGCACGGGAACTCATTGTAGGGCCCAGCGCGAAGGATGGATGTTTCTGCTTATCTCTGGCTAGAGCCAACCTAAGGTTGCTGGTGGGACTGTTGTCTGGCCATAACACGTTAGGGCGCCACCTGGACGTGATAGGGGTGGCTGGGATCCCTTGTGTGAGCGCTGCAGGGTAGAGGAAGAGGCCTCGGCGCACGTTCTGTGTCGCTGTGCTCTGAGCTACTATAGGCAGACTATACTGGAGTCCATCACTTTGCACCCTCAGGACGTCAAGGTCATACTCGACCTCGCTAGAAAGAGGAGGCCTGAGGCCTAAGGAATGTACAGGTGCATAAAGACCCGTTTAAGCGGCCTATGCACTGGCTCCTTAGGGTAGCCGGAATACCTCTAATTTCACGATTCATTCAATTGTTTAAGATAACTGTAGGTCTCCTTCATTTTGCCCCCTTGAAACCCTGCAACTTTTGTCTGAATCTTTTTTCCAAGAAAATGCAGTCTTTTTGAATGTTTAGGTGGGAGATTGAAATGGAACACCATGTTTAGGATTTACCTTTTTTTTCAGGAAAGATAAACTGAAAGAACACTGCAAGCGCACACACAATGAGGAAAGAGAGAATGCTGCTCCTCCTGATACTACTTTATCAGAAGCCATACCTGGGACAAAGAGGACAAAACGTTTTTCGTCAAAACTAGATTTGACTGATTTCCACAGGTTCATCTATAAGTGTCATTCTTGTTTAGTTGGCTTTAAAAGAAGAGGTAAGTCGTTACTACCTGAGGTTGATTGATTTTGTCGCTGATGAAAAAAATTAAATTTATTAAATGAAATTTCAGGTATGCTGGTTAACCATCTCGCCAAAAGGCATCCCGACATTAGACCTGACTCAGTACCTGAATTGAACTTGCCCATTCTGCAGACAACTCGTGATTATTATTGTCAGTATTGTGACAAAGTGTACAAAAGCAACTCAAAACGGAAGGCGCACATTTTGAAAAACCACCCTGGGGCTGCATTACCGATGAGCAATAGGAAGCAAGGACAGATACCCCAGGAGGTAAATTTAAAATATTTTCCACTACTCTGTATATAAGGAAGAATCAAAATTGAGGTTCTATTTAAAAGTTTTCATGAGAGCGTCACGGGACCTCTTTGTGGTTATTTATGTATTATTGCTAAGCCAAGCACAAAAAAACTTTTTAGTTTTTGAAAATCTGTCCAATGGCAGTGGAAAAAAGGCGAAAAACGAAAAAAATAAAAATTGCTTAAACTGCGTTTTTGGACGTTTCAGAGTATCCTGATCAAGGACTGATTCAATACAAATTACATATAGTCAACGCCAAACAAAGTGGCGTGCACGTCATCACGATAAAAATTCCCCGACCTAATGCCTAGGTTTCTATCACAAACAATTGCTCTATTGCAGTTTCATATTAATGTGATATATAAATTGTAAAATGGTCATTACTCTCTTATTATGGTTAATAGTCATATAAACATTGTTATTAAAATATCACATAAGTTGCTTTCTGATAAATTTAGACGCATTATGCGAAATAAAATGTTTTGCAAACGCTCCAATCACTTATCGACATGTAAACGCACTAAACCGATTTCGCAGCGTTGACACATTGTCACCTTGAAACTTATTTAAACTGGGAACTGACATTTGTATTAATTTTGACACTGAATCAATTTGTGGCATTTCAAATCTTTATAAATCCTTTGGCCCCGCATACTGTAAATCAACAACTGTTTGTTTCAAAACAAAATTATTCATTTTACGAGTAGATAAAGGCAATTTTGGTATATAAAGATGCCCAAACAGTTAAATAGTCGGTGTAAGGAACTCGTGGCCTCGTTAATGCACTACTTTGAGCAAGAAAGGGACAACAACGGGCCTTTGTTGCCTTTAAATGCTGTTCAAGAGGTAGGTTACTAATAATTATATGTAATGTATATTAATAATAGTGAAATTTTATTTCATTTTTTGTAGCGTGTTGCTGCTGCTTTAAAAATTAGTTTAAGGACAGTTAGTCCTATTTCCGAGGGTGTGAAAAGTGATGCAAATTTAGAATCGCCCAAGAAAAAGCGGAGTTATATTAAACGTGTAACCAACACAGCGACATTGGATACAAGTGCCATTCGAGAAGTGATCTATAATATGTATCACAAAAGTAAGATCTTATTATAATAACTTATCAGAAATTTGCATTAATTTGTTAACTAAATTATAATGTCATATTACACATGGTTTCAGAAGAACAAGTTACGATACAAACTTTATGGTCTCGATTAAGAGATAGGGCATTATTTGATGGTAGTGCCACGTCTTTAAGGCGGTTGCTTAGAGATCTTGGATTTAAGTGGCTTAAGGACAATCCGCGACGAGGGCTCATGGAACTACCAAGTATAGCTTTGAAAAGGGTGGAATTTCTAAGGCAATACAATCAAGCCAAGGTTGAGGCCTTATACCAGTTTGTCTTCCTCGATGAAACTTGGATATTTCAAAATGGGACCATAGGTCGCTCTTGGCAAAATGGAAACCAAAAAAGCGTGAAAGCTATTAAAACAGATGGTAAAAGGTATGTACTTTTACACAATTTGCACTATAAAATTTAAAACTAATATATTTTAGATACATTATATTACATGCTGGAAATGAAAATGGGTTTATTGAGGGTAGTGAAGCGATATTTTCTTCGAAAACAAGATTGAGCGATTACCATGGAGAGATGAACCAGGACAATTTTTTGAAATGGTTTCAACATCAGTTATTAGAAAAATTGGAGAGTCCATCTATGATTATACTGGATAACGCCCCTTATCACAGCATGATATTGAACAAAGTGCCCAACAATGCATGGACAAAAAAAAATATCCAAGACTGGTTGACAAATCAAAACATACCATTTTTAAACACAATGTTTAAAACAGAGCTATTGAGTATTGTTGCTCGGTACATAATGCTTCTTAATTATATATATTTTGGTCGACAGTTTATATTTCTTTTGTTTATTCCTATTCTTAAAATAACTGCTTTTTTAGAAACAAACCACCTAAAATATACGTGATTGATGAATTGGCGGAACAACATGGGCACACAGTTCTTCGTCTGCCTCCTTACCATTGTATATTTAACCCTATTGAGTTAATTTGGGGCATAGCAAAAGGTTACTATAACAGACATATTGGTAGAGATGGTAACAGTGAAAAAGACTGTTTGGATATGTGGAACGAGGCTCTACAAACGGTTACCCCAGACATGTGGAAAAATAGTGTTCGACATACTGAGCAAGAAATTTTTAAATGGTATGAAAGAGAACGAATTTTTGATCGACCAGACATCGAACCTTTAATAATCAACTTTGAGAGTGATGAAGATTCAGATTCAGACAGCGCTGAAGAAAGAAACTCCGACTAACTTTATTGTACAGAAAAAGCTTACACCAGTAGCTTACCTAATTTTAGAATGCATTTTTCTGTATGAATTCTGTAAAATAAATACCATGCATAAAATTTGGAGGACCCCATTTGGATTTTTATTCAGTACCTTTAAGCTATCAATTAAATATGGTAGTTTCATAGTGTCATCTGATCAATAATTGTCATACTTAATGATTATGCAAGTACAGATCTATAATTTTATTATACTATTATTTTTGTTCTCATTTGAGGTTAATATTGCTTATAAACCTAGATATGTAAATAATAAATTTTATTATTTTACAAAAGGTTTGGCAACAATGTAAATTTTTCAACACACCCACCTTGATGACGTGCACGCCACTTTGTTTGGCGTTGACTATAGTTAACATGTAAACCATCTGAACTGAACGAAAAACACATTCATTAATGAGATCAAATAACATATTTTCTGTGATTTTTACGTAGGACACCAATTATTGCATTATCGATATTTTTCATTTTTATATTTCCGTGCAGTGTTCGATGCAGCTAAAGCAGCTCATGTAAGGCGCATTGGAGAAACCGATATCATGAAACTAAAACTTGATAATTTTAATTCTGTGCCCAGATTGAAGGATTTTTTAATCCTCTATTTTTTACAACTGATCTAGAAAAATAACAGGCGAAGTAGCTTTGAAATTTTGAAGAAGTTGTTGTTGCAGATTGATTTAGCACTAATGCTACAATATCAATGTTACTCAATATTACATGATATTTTAAGTCTTCAAGTCTACATATTTCACTACTATGAATTCTGGTTTTCTATGAAATATATTTCAATAGCCCTTTTTTGTTATCATTACTTAATTTATTAAATTCCTAGAATCCTTTTTGAAATACAAATTTTATAATTGATCAAAGTTATGTCATGAGCTAATTTCAAGTACTGTGTTGTCAATCCCTGATCATTAGCTGTAGTGATCACTCCTGTTGTAGTTGATGGAAGCGCAATTTTTTTTCTGTGTGCATTTCAACGTAAATGATACTATTTCCTACTCAAACCGCATTTACGCTGCGTCAAAACAAAAACGGTTGTTCGATCACTTAATTCTTTCCCTCGTATTTTCTTGTTGTCCAGGTTACTGCTCAGGACTGCTGCCAGAATTCGGCCTACATGAAATTAAATAACAGTTGTCTTTATAGTTTCTTTGTGGCTTGTGGCCCAATTTGGTTGAGTATCCTTAAAGGAAAGATTTAAATGATATTGTCCAAACCAACTGATGGACCACGAGTTTTTTTACTTCCCGGTTTTTCTTGTGATTTGTTATTGGAGGACAACCTATTTTGTCTTATATTATATCCTAACAAGATAAACAAAATGGTTCCCTTTAGGATCTAAGTAATATTTCTCGCATTTCACATCCATGAACTATGCATATGCATCATTAGAAGTCGGAGATTGCATAACAGTCGACTGGTATGTTGCGACAACAGTTCGGGGAGGGTTTTCGCGTACTCTGAGAGTGTTTAGCGTTTTTGGTACGAGGGTAACGTATCCAGCCCATTCAAAAAAAAATTACAGATAACCTCATTTTCGCTTGTCACTTTGGGGGCTGGGCGTTCTTTCGGGAATGCTTACCTCAGACGAACCCGCGCTTTTCTGGTTTGAAGCGGCGCCATCTTGGCGTAATGATGGCATCGTACAGGACTGTTCAGGCTATTGTCGCAAAAAGGTCAATGTGGTGGCCGTAACGTCGTACAATAAACAGTAATTGAAACATATGTATAACCGGTTAGTTATCGATGTATTAGATCACGTCACACTTGACGCTCTCATGAGATTGCACCTTTAGAATCATAATCGATGTTGTATTATTTATATAGCAGGTATCCGGCAGTCTCCCAAACCCGACCTTTTCCCAAACTGTAGGCAGCATCACTACTCGCCCACAGAACTGCAAGTGGTGCCATAAGCAGTACGCCAGCAAGGCGAAACTTTTACAGCACCAGCGTAAGAAACACGCCGAGCACATGGCAACAGCGCAAGGAGGCGGTCCGCAGGTGAAGGAGGAGCAACAGGGGGCGGTCACCGACATAGGTGGTGGTGGTGGTGGCGCGACATTGAACGTCGCAGGGGCGGGATGCGGCGTAGCGGGGATGGGGATAGGGGTAGAAAGGCAGGTAGGGCAGCCAGCCGTGGCGATGATAATGATGACGCCGAAAGTGGAAGAGGTGAAGCAGGTCCCTAATGGGGCAACAGTTGCTGAACAGCCTGGTGAGTTCAAGGTTTTGTTCTGCTGGTATTTTATTTGTTTACATTCCAACTATTTTTGAAAGCACTGACGTTGCTATTTTTGTTGAACAGATCAAAATCAATGCTTCTTAGTATTCTAATTGTTTTAAACTTGTCTATTGGAGAAATTTATTTTGAAGGAAATATTTTCTTTCTAGGTAACTGTTCAGTAACACAATTCGACAAGGAAGGAGTGGTGGACAACATAATAGGCAATGAATTAGACGAATACAATTTAGAGGAAGATTCTCAGTTCTGTCATTTATCAATTAACGAGGCAGAAAGCTTCATGGAGGATAATGAGTTGGAGAATCCAAACTCGCATTTGTACCGATTGCTAACTGTCAACAACGGTAAGTCCGTTCAGTTTTTTTATCATGGTGATTGGCAAAACTGTAAGATGCCGGTACACGTTGATCAATCCAGCTTTCCAGCTCCAGACGGTATGGAGGCTCCCTTTGGTGTAACAACTGCTTTTCAAATTCCTTATGTACAGGATGTTCAGCGATAAAGTTCACATTTCAAATTTGAATTACGCGGAAACCGTATACGCGGGGAAGTGGAGAGAGGTGTTGATCGACGCGTTCGGCGTGCGGGTTAAATAATCACAATGCAACGTTGGACCGGAGCGCAACGTGCTTTTGCTATCGAGGCTTACTTTAAGAGTGGTGATTCATACGCAGCTGCCCTTCGGAAATTTTGTGCACGATATAACATTCGCCGACCAAGAAATGCTCCAAGTAAGAACCTATTGAAAAAGTGGATTAAGCTCTACTCTTAGTCAACCCATTCCTGGCCCCATTCCTACTATATCAACAGAAGAAAATGTGCGTCGAGTAAGTGATTCGGTCATTGCAAATCCTCGGCGTTCTGTACGGAAGCATTCCGCTGCTTTGGGAATCCCTAGGTCAACACTGCATGGCATAATGATGAAAAAAATGGATTTTCATCCTTATAAAATCCATGCTTTAAGTGAAGTCTTGTGCTGAACGGATTTTCAATCATCTTTTTCCTAAGCAGCGCAGACATAAGAACGTTGTTTTCTGTGACGAGGCCCATTTTCACTTAGACGGTTATGTGAACAAGCAAAATTGCAGATATTGGGCACCAACGAACCCAAAAGAGAAACATCAACAACAGCTACATAGTCCAAAGGTGACTGTTTGGTGCGCGATATCCTCTAGCCGTATTTCTTTGAAGATGAAAACGGTCATGCTTTGACAGTCAATTCCGAGCGATGCAAGGACAAGATTGACACTTTTTTGCACCTATTGTAAAAACAGAACGTCGATTTAAGCAAATGGTTTCAACAGAATGGGGCCACTGCCCATACTTCCAGAGAATCGATGGACACGGTGAAAGCACTTTTTCTTCAAAAAGTTATATCGAAGTTTGGAGACATTCACTGGCCTCCTAGGTCACCCGACTTCACGCCATACGATTATTTTTTGTGGGGTTATCTTAAAGTCAAAAGTGTATTCCAATAATCCAGGAACGCTATAGGAGCTTAAAGACAATATGCGACGAGAAATAAACAACATCACTCCGGAACTCTGCAAGAGAGTCTTTCAGAATTTGCTCGGGCGATTAGAAGAGTGTGTCCGTAGGGATGGCAAACATTTGGACGGAATGATATACAAAAAATAAAACCCACCGAATTTAAATCAAAAAGCAAACATGCCCACTGGATTACTATTTTGTGAAAAATGATACTGCTGTTGAAATTTGTTGCAAATTGTGTTAAAAATGTTCAAGTATTTACAAGTGTAATTCTTCGAATCTTGTATTTTTTGCAGGAATGTTGCAGCCACCACGCTGAAGGATATCTAACAAACTTTGGAACTTCACTTGATCTCCATTTGGAGAATTTTTCTTCTGCTCTAAACAGAGAGAATCTTTGTCCGTTAGCTTTGTTTGACTACAGGTTGAAACCTGTCAGACGGAACAGATTGAAAAGAATTTCAAGATGATTTTCATTATAAAGGGATTTTTAAACAGGTACAATGTAGAGGATGTTACATTTGCGCAAATAGGTAGCCCTTTTGTAGCCTGTATTTTGGGCTGACTATTTAATTTGCTAAAAGAATAAAATTTGGATTGTACGTTTCTCTTAGTTAGCTTATATTGAATACTTGGTGTCATAGCTTTAGATTCTTTCTCACATGTACTGCAACTGAATGCAAATTATGAATTTTTGAATAATTTGAACACAAGAAGCTACTAAGTTTAATGTTAGATAAACACTCTCTCATATAATTTTAAATCCAATCTGATGTATCCACATAGAAACATATGTTGATGATGGTTTGTCTTACTCTATGACGAAAACGTATATAATTTAGAATTTATAAACATCAAAAATATGTATTGTTTATATTTTTGTCTTTTAAAAACATGAATAAGTTTATGAGCCCTTTTGGCTAGAACTAAACGTGAGTTTTTATACTATGTCACGTGTCTGTGAAATAATAAGAGAGGAAACTAACTGAAGGTTGTTACCAGTATACTTGGAAATTGTATGTGATACTCTTCATATTAAATACTGTAAACTCTTCCATGAAATATTTTATAAAGTTTTTCGTACTCCAGTAACGTATTTTGAAATGTATGAATGATGAGATAAGTGGAATGTATTTATTGTGTATTTTTTGTATTCAGCCTTAAAATATTTGGGGGCAATGCCGTTGCTCAGCACAAAAGGTAGGGCAGAGGCAAATTTGCCTAATTTTCTAAAATACCAATAAATAGAGTAGTTAAACCTCGTGATACCTTCTGTGCTGGGTCTGTTTTCAAAATCATCTTATTATTCTGAAACCTTATGAAGGTAAAACATGGGATTAGTGCAGTGTCACATTTACTTGGCTACGTCTTTTAGTGCGCATATAAATTATTTCAGTGTTATTTAGTATTTTGCTTTAAAGCATACCAATCAGAATATTTGGTTAGTTTTTTAGAAACATCAGAAGTAATTGAAGTAGCCATCCGACTACCTACCGATCTTTTTTTTAAGGAATCCCGTGAACGTTAGGGAAAATTGGGCATATTGCAACCACACTTTCGCAATAGTAAGAACGAAATTGTATCAAATGATGGAAAATCTAAAACATGTGTTTTTTATGTTCATTAAAGAACGTTCCGATTTTCCCTGACATTGGAGACAGTGCCACTCTATTTTTAACAAGGTTGTTAGCTTTATTTTAAAATTTTTACTCATGTAGTTTTTCTCCGTTTTCCGTAAACAAGCCTGTAAAATATCAACTGATACATGACTTTTCATAGCTTCAACAAGCAAATTACACAAAACAATGTTAGATTTTTGCTGATATTTTTTCAATCTTCGAGAGCTCTTATGGACCCCATAGACACTCAAGCAAAATCGTGCGATTTGTTTGTCATGCAAATTATACTTGCTTGTCAAGCAAGTCGTCTTGTAAGTTTTAGTGTTTGTGGTATTCAACGTTTTGTTTTTAAGCAAGACTGAAGACTAGATGCGCGCGGACTTTCCGCTTTTTCTTTCCGGTTTATAAATCGAAGATCTATGATTGTTCATTCAAATAATGCTTTCTTTTGACCTCCCAAAACAATCATTTTATCTAGACAAATCTTTAAAGAAAGACATTCCCTCGACAGCAATCAGTTATTTTCGCAAATCGTTAATATTTTAACGAAAACATCGTTTGTACTGTTCTAAGTCTAATTCATTACTCTTACACTGATTTATAACAATACTTGCAACTAATTTATGACAAATTTATAACTATGTCGGCGCATCGGTCGTTGTCCGTTAACTTGACTGAGCGCATTCCGCCGTCCGCGCGATTCACAAGTCGTGACCAAAAATGAAACATCAAATACAGGACAGCATTTTCAGAAGGGTCTTCTATGTAACATTTTTTCCTTGACGGCTTCATTAAAAAGATATAAGGTGTTGAAGTTTAAAAATAATTTTTTTAATATCTCCAAAACCGTCAACTGGAATGAACTAAAATTTATGTGGATTTACCTAAGTATTATGCACATTCAAAAGCCTTTACTCGAAATCAACGTGCACGAATGGAGGAGATACAGGGAGATTAGTGGCATTATTTTTCCAAATGAAAATTTTACGCCACTGTTTTTTTTTTCGAAACACGCAATTTTTAGAATTTTACCTTCAATTTGCTACAAATAATTATCTTTTGTTTTTACCTAGAGTGCATTGCTTTCGTAAAAATGAAAAACAAATTAGATAATCAAAGCTTTATTTCAATAAATGTTCAAAACGACCACCATTCTGACGGATACAAGTGCGGCATCTTTTTAATAAAGAAAAACGTATATCCGCAAAATTTGTTGTGGCTTGAATTTGATGAAACGCATTATCTATTCTTTCTTGTAACTGTTGAACAGTACTAATTTGTTCAACAAACACTAATTGTTTAAAAGCGCCCCACAAAAAGAAATCCAAGCGGTTCAAGTCAGGAGACATCGCAGGCCAATGTACAGGTCCGTTTCTACCAATCCATCTAGTCTAAAATGATTATTTAACCACGCGGTTATGTCACGACGAACATGCGGTGGGGCATCGCCGTGTTGATACCACATTCGTACTCTCGCTGCTAACGGAACATCAAACACATTTTCTATGTAATTCTCTAGGAAAGCTAAGTATGAGTGTGCATTTAAACGTTGTGGCAAAACATGCATAAACAGTTGGCCATTGAATGCCGCATCAGACATTTCTAGAAAATCTGTTGTGAAACGGAATGGATTCTTAGAGAACGGTGATTTTCTAACGACGATGTTCATTATGAGAATTAAAGATTCCAAAAAATGGTAGTAGTAACGATAACAACTGTATAACACATAACTTTGACAAACTATCTCCCAAGAAACGTCAAGTTGGTATCAAGGCCTCCTATTTTATTTTGAAACTAATTGTATCTCGGCTCTTCATGAATGATCTAATTTGTTTTATTTTTACGAAAACTTTAGGGAAAAAACAAGAGCAATTATTTATAATATAATAAAATTCGAACAATTGCTTTATTTGGAACAATAATGCCACTAATCTCCCCCACCCAATTACGAGGGTGTCACAGTAGCAAACACAGTCCTTTCTTCAAGCAAGTTGGTCTACGAGACAAAAATCAACATTCCGTTGATTTTACTCATGCCAAGCAATTGACGGAACGCGACGATTTGGTACCACACATATTCCGTCTTCCTTGACGATTCAAGTCGTTCAAGCAAGTCGTAGGATTTGTTTGAGTGTCTATGGGGTCCATAAAAGCATTTTATTGTTTTTAAATACAGGGAAAACTTTTGATCATTGAAGAGACCCTGTCAAAATGTTGGACAATTCTTCAAAATCGTATATATATATGGTATTACTCGTATTGTATATCTCTCACGAAATATCAATAAATCGGTAATATGGCAGGTTGTCTACTAATGATTAAACGAAAGAATTGCGCGATGTGTTTTTGGAATACTGTTGCATATAAAGAAGATGATAAATTGAAATAATCTGGATGGTTTACGTAACATTGCAAGTATTCAATTCATAAGCAATAAATTTTTTGTACAAAACTTTATTTGTCTTGTCAAATACAAAAATTTGTTAAATCATTGACTGATTTATAGTATTTTTCTGATTGTGATTGAATTGTGAATTGTATCCATTGTTATACTCGTTAAGAGAAAATATATATTTTGTCTGCTTTACATTTTTTTCTTAATCCCAAACTCATCCTTTTTTTCTGTTATGCAGGCATTTATTTTTGGAGATTCAGTCAGCTCTGATTATATTGTTGTTGAAATGCTTAGAGAGGTGTTATCTACAAAGTTATCAAACTCTATTCAAATGGAAGCTATTTTCACCTTTTATGTCGATTTTGCAGATTTCCTCAGAAGATATTAAATACTATCTTTCAAAAATTTGAATCTTTAATTGCTAAAACAAAAATTTACAAATCATATCACTTTTTCCCCTTATTCCTCATGTTTATTCTTCTATTTTTGCCAGGTCGAGTTTTCAAATTCTTATTTCCTTTTCCTGCATTTTTGAACTTCTTTCCAGGTTTTCCAGGATTCTTATATTCACTTATATCTGCAGCACTATCCTTTGTGTTAACTTTCCTGCCTCGCTTCTTTCCACCAAAACCAAACTTCTTGTCCTTCATTTTCCTCCTTTCAATAGATTTTCTTGAAATAGCTTTCCCTGGAAAAAATGTGCCCCAATAAAAAAATGTGCAGCTGAAGGTGATGTTTCCATTACAACAAATTTGTGCTGCAATAAGTGCCACCACATGTACTAGTAAGTTGAAATGAAAACAGTCTGCAACATGTTGTGGCTGGGAACAAAAATATGCCAAAAGACTGCAGTGCACCACCTGTGCAACCATTTGCCTAGGGTTCAATAGGGTCAAAATATTGTAGATATCAAAGTCCATAATCCAATAAATATTACATTTGATTGTTACAAAATACCATGTTTAATAGAACCTTGAAATATTGCATCCTTATTCAAACACCCCTTAGAAGTTGATTGTTAACCCTTTGTGTCCGGAATTAAATAATTTTAGGATTTTCACTTCATAAACCTAGTTACGAACCTAAAGGATGTAAAAAAACGTCAAACATTTTGTGAAAAAAATGTATTACACATATTTTTTTGAAAAAGTGGTGGTCACCCGAACGAACCAGTAGGACCACCAAACAAAAACTTTTACCAAAGAAACAAAGCATTATCTTTCCACAACATGAGGCTAATCGACATTATGATATGCAAGAAAACAATTTCTCTTGTCATTCAGGCATAAACCTACATCGCAAATCGTGCAACTCCACATATTCCTATGAGGTTCCTTTTTTGTGCTGCAGATGGCGCATCGTCTGGAAGTTCCATATATAGGCATGTGAGCAGATTTTTCTGTCATTTTTTCAATGGGAACGTATTTTATAAAATGATTTATGGGTTCCATTGATTTTCGACCTTTTTTCTTGGTAATGCATCCCGACGCAAGTCCTGAAGAGACATTTATCCTGAACTGTTTCAAATCGAGAGTCGAACCGCGGCAGCGTTTTTGAAACAAAATGTACGCGTTGACTACCGTAGTATCGACAAAGTGACAAACTATCCTATGGTACCACTTCTTGCTTTTTCGATCTATCGCGTAGCATTCTTTTAGCATGTCCGCCTTATCGACGGCACCCATATGTTTATTGTAATCCACAACCAAAGACGCACAAGTTACTTCTGACACCGTTCCATGTTTATTCTTTCTATTGATTGTTATGGTAATTTGACAAGAAATAAACAGGTTTTTTGTCTTTCCATTTTAGACATACCAACATATCATTTGTCATTCTCCAGTCATATTGGCCTCGGGTTAGTTTTTTATCATCGATAAAGTCATCTGGCAAATATTTTTTCCCTTTTCTCAAAGTGCCACAACCACATGATTCCATTTTGTTTCAAGTAGCTGAGCAGTGGAACACTTGAAAAATAGTTGTCAAAAAAAATTCTATAGTTTTGTTGTTGCAAATCTCTTGTCAAGTCTGTGACTACTCTTCCTCCTAAATCTTTTTGTGGCAAGTCACCAATCTTACCAGAATATATTTGAAATTCGCAAATATACCCTGAATCATCAGCCCGCACCCAAACTTTGTATCCAAACCATTTATTTTTTCTGTAAAAAAAAAATAAATGACTGTTTACAGTCCTAGTGATTACCTCAAGAAACCACTACATATTACATGGAACAAAACCCTGTCAGATGGTAAATTGATCAATTGAGTCGGAAGGTATGAAATATTACAGTTATAAAACTAAATACTGCCGTGTCATTTCAATTTTCACTCAGTGTGTTCACGTTTACAAACAGCCGAAAAAAGACACACGCGGAACTTTCGCAATGGATAAAAAAACTTCACGGAATACACACTTCCTCGCACGGGGCAGAGCCGTCAATTTTTTTCCTGATAGATGTCACTAACGGTAATACTTTTAAACCGCGGTAAGGCTATCCGACCAGTAGGACTGAAATTACGTGTTTTAATATAGGTGGTTACATGGATCGACCAGTAGAACGGAAAGGGTTAAACAGTTTATGTTAAAGTAATGTGGTGTAAAATGAGTCGTACCCTTTTTCTCATCCAAAAAGTCTGTATTTGCCATCCCTTTCCTTGCTTTCTTCACTTGGTCTAATATCTGTTTTTTCTCTTGTTGCCTCTGTTGCTTTATCTGTATCTGCAACATTTTTCCCTCTTTCCTTTGTTGTCTCAATTGTTTCACTCTCTCACTTCTTTTTTGCTGTTCTTGCTTTTTCATTAGATTTTCTCTGATCTTCTGCATGTGTTCATCAGATTTAGCCATTTCAGCAAAGTAGTCCTCAGGTCTAGATATCAATAAAACAAAGAAAAACAGTTATATCATTAATCATCTATTATGGTGAGATGAAAATTGATTTTTATATATTGATAACTCTGAATATTACTAAATCAATGTATACAATGAAGGCAGTGAACATAAGAATTTTGGATTACGTTCTATACTAAGTGACATATAAATCCGAACACCCAGTTTAAATGGTTTTATTTTAATAAAATTTTGTATAAGTACTTAATGAAGCATAATAAGTAAATTATAAAAATTTCAAAATGATTGCACTGCTTTAAAGCCCTTTGACCTTTAATAATGTGTGGATGCACCCTGATGTGCTACGCATTCTCCAACGTGCCTAGGCATGCTTCTGATCAGGTGGTCAATGTCCTCCTGTGGTATCTCATTCCACCAACTCCTCTCGAAGTGCTTCTAGAGTCTGAGGAGGACGTTGCAAATTGAGCAATCGCCTACCCATCATATCCCACACGTGCTCAATTGGGGATAAGTCGGGACATCTTGGTGGCCATGGTAACAATGTGACATCATTATGTTGAAAGAAGTCTATTGTGACTCTTGCAACATGTGGTCGGGCATTATCTTGTTGGAAAGTTGGATCTGCCAGGGTGTCAAGATAGGGTAAAAGATGGGGTTCTAGAACTTCGTGGATATAACGCTGCGCGTTCATATTACCTCTGATGAAGATTGAAGGTGACCTGGAACCATAAGCTATAGCACCCCAAACCATAACTCCAACAGTGTGATGAACATGTCTTTCAACAAAAAACTGTGGATTCTTATTTTCACCACGTCGCCTTCTAACCCTGGCACGACCATCGTGCATGCCTAAACAAAATCGAGACTCGTCACTAAAGACAATACTGTTCCATTCCTGATCCCAGAGTGACCGTTGTCTGCACCACTCAAGGCGATTACGTCGGTGTTCTCGAGTTAAAGGGAGGACCCAGTGTGGCCGGTATGAAAACAAGCCAAAACTTCTCATTGGTCGGTAAACACTTCGCATGCCAATAGGTCTTCGTGTTCTGCAAACCATTCATTTGCAATGGACCTGGTAGTGGAGAAACGGTCCCTTAAGGCCAATAATCTTAGGCGGCGATCTTCACGGTCTGTTATTCTACGGCGGCGTCCAGTGCCCATTGCTCTTTGCGTATGGCCTTCTCGAAGCCATGCCTGACAACACCTAACCACAGGGTCTACACTTCTTTGCACTCTAACTGCAATTGCCCGAAAAGAAAGTCCAGCTTCCCGACGTCCCACTATACGGCCCCTATCAAACTCACTAAGTTGACGAAATCGTACAGGTCTCCGTACTCTAGGCATCGTAACCGATCGTAAAGGATGTCAAGAACCAAAATCCGCCAACGTTGATTCTTTACTGCGGCTGAAATATTCATTTTTAGAGCGTTAGTGAATTTAAAAAAAGCAGTATAAAAACCGGAATGTCCAACTGATAAGGCTGAAAATTTTTTCACTTGTTATTTACAGTAAGATAAATACAATCACCAACTTTTATTAAAATAAAACCATTTAAACTGGGTGTTCGGATTTATATGTCACTTAGTATATATATTGGTGACGGGATTGAGTCTGAAAGACATTTTGTATTCAATAATTTATAGAAATTAGGGTTACTAGTCCTTGCATCTATAAGTCTGATTGTATATGGAAGCTATTCTAATTGCTATATGCAAAACAACTCGTGCGAGCATGTTAGGGTTGCTAGGAAGTTGAAGCAGTAGCCTCTGTCTCTTGTTAATATGGAGTATGAAAATGCAGCAAATAAAGAAATGACGGAAACAAGTTTGAGATTTTGAATTGCTTTCCACTTTTTTATATTAATTACCTTTTTGTGGCAAGTCCCGTTGCCTTGAGCTTTGGAATGGCGTATGTAACTGCTGCTTGTGCTTGTCTATAAAATAACATCTCTCTTTTGAAGTCATTCAATACAGGATCTTCTTCTGGTTTGAACTGAGGTAATTTTTTGTTATTTTTCAGTTCATTTTCTCTTTTTTGTTCCTGGGTCATTGCTTGAACTGCAAGCTCTGGAGCTAGGGGAGCTAGCTCATTTACACAGTCTAGTCTTTCAATCCATGGTAATTTTAATTTAATCTCCTCCAATTTTTGTTTTAGACCAGTCTGCAATTATAAAAGATCAAGTTCATGTGCTATATTTCATTACAACAAATACGGAAGCACGTTACGCAGAACAATGCAAGTCTTGCAATTTTTCAAGCAAATAAATGTCTTAACACTAATCCACTGGATAAAATATAGCATGTTGCATATACGTTCAATGTTCCTATCAATTAAAACTTACTACATTATTTGTAAATTGTATGGGAGCCTCCTCTACTTTATTCAGGCCTGGCTTCAGTTTACCTTCTTCAAACGCTTTTTGCAACTAAAATAACGGATTTTATAAAAATATATTTATAATAAGATTACTTGAATTTTATACCTCAACATCACTGTCGCTCAACTCAGACTCGCTTGAACTCATTGTCTGTAAAATGAAAAATATCAAATCTCCACGTGTTTTTGTTTATATTTTAAAAACGAATTTGGAATTTAAGTAATGACATACTGTCAAAATTAAGGTTACAATTTGTCAAGAATGACAAGCAATATGAAAGTGTCATTTGTCATGAGGGGCTGCGTTCCGCAAAAAACGTGTTTTGTAATACCAGGGCTGCGTTCGTAAATTGTTACAGAGTGTAGGCTGTACTACTTTGTAACAATTTTAGCGTTCAAAATTGTTTGACGTACCTGTTACATGCGTTCTGCATGTATTATCAACACATCGGCATTAATCTTGTTTCTCCAAGTTATTTCAACAGATTTTTTTCATACAAGTTTTCTAGTTATCATCAATGCACCTTCAGGCACCTTTCTCGTTTATGTAACGCTATTAACAATAGGAGTACAATATATTGCTTACTTAGGCCCGTATCGTCAGTCGTCCCTACAATTGTACGGCGCGTTTATGGCCTCCTTGATTTCGATAATATAACGTCTTCTTCATTAACGTACATACTATTCGTCAGAGCGGTCCGGTGGACCTTTGCTCTTAGTTAAAAGTCTCGTCGGTCTGTTAGTCTGTCAGGTCTGGCTACCCAGATACCAAACATGTTTAAGGAGAAAAGGGAGATAAGGAAAGAAAGGAAGGAAGAAATAGGGCAAAGAAAAGAAGTAAATCATTTGAATTAGCTTAAGCATTATTGCTTTGACTAGTACTCGAATTATTTTGTAACTCCAAAAAATAATTTTGATCGGTTTTGTATACTGTAATAATTTTGGCCTTTTTGGACTAGGAAAAAGAGCGTGATTACATCTGATGATCATTTGTAACTCCTTAGTTTCTACGGAGACAATCAGACCATGGTCCTACTTTTTCCATCCTTCAAGTACATGTCAAATTTGAGCGCGAAATTAGTTTTATGATTTAAAAGTATCAGATCTAATTATATTTGCTTTGTTTTGAGGAAGTAATCTACAGTATTGTGTTTGATAACACTACTTCAAAATTGGTTAAAAAAAAGCCCGAGTAAAGATAACATGGCCACGCAAGTATTAAAATATACTCTAGTAGACTCTAGTGACCGTAGTGAAATTTTTCTCGAAATCGTTGCACATCCCATAAAAAATGCAAATGAAGATTGGAAAACTGGCGCTTTGATGTACTAAATGAAGCCGTTGTTACGGATAAACATACGTTTTGGCAGTGGACCTTCTTGGCACCTAGATTGCGGGGTTGCCAGCTCATCGGACAATTTTGCTAGCTCTGCTGTTTTACTAGGTTATAAAAAGGGAGCTTTGAATAAAATATTGAGGGATACCAATGGAGATATACAAAATTTGAGGCGTAGCAATGTTTGGCAAAAAACTAAAGGTGATTCTGATAAATAATCTCATTATACGTGCAAGAGCAAACAAAACCATGAGACTGGTGGTGTTTATGTTTTATGCAAATTAGTATTTTTACTAATTGTTGTCAAATTTTTTATCATTTATATATTCTGTCTATAATTTGCGCATAAACATAAAACAATTATTGCACTGTTACGAAAGAAGTTGTTTAAAAAAAACAATAAAAGTCCTACAGAAACCAAGTTATAAACCTGAGTTTCAATAATAAATTGACAAATAAATATCTGTATTTTGCGTTCATCGTCGTGATATTAGAACACGCATTAATAATTTATTGTAGCAAATGTTGTACCAAACTGACGAAAACAAAATACCAGGAATTTTTTGTTTTTTCATACTGATAAGAACGTGTAAATAAGGTTTAATCTGTATCGTGGGTGATCCGAATGAGGAACGGTCGAATTTTGTAAAGTTAAATAAGAACATATTTTGCGAGTTTATGTTTTTAGTTATTTATTAATAAAAATGGCACATGTGTATTCTAATGAGGAGTTAGTGGACATTGTTTTAGCGTACGGAGAAGCAGGGGAAAATTCGCGAGCGGCTTCTCGTTGTACGCACATTTCTGTAAGACTTTTATTACATTTTTTTTTGAGAAATCAACTTCTTTTGTAACAGTACTTATGTGGTTAAAATTTGTCGGATAAGTTGTGAAACACCCTGTATAAATAGTGTGTGTCTAGGTATTTTGGAGTAACATCAAGAGTGGCATAGGATTGATAGTATTTAAATTACATTAAAATACTATGCATAATAATAAAAATAGTTCATTTAACAAAAAACTTAACTTTTTGAAGATGAATATGGTAAAATAACTTAAAAAATATATTTTTGTACAAATTTATTATAGATACCTACAAACATACTGTTTTGAGCTTTATTGTTATTACAATGTGATACTATACTTATTTGAAACACTAGCAAGTCGATTTACATAGACATTATCTAAGATTCAGTCCCACAAAATTTTATAGTTAAACTAGGTACCACCTAACATATATATATATATATATATATACATATATATATATATATATATATATATATATATATATAGTCATATAACATCATAACAGTGTGAGTTTCATTAGAATGTGATATTACAATATAGTATCTCCTACTAACAAGTCGATATACATATCTGATATTAAGTCGAAACTTTCTTTTGAGCTGTTTCAAGCACGCATAACATTTATATTTCAGGTCACGATATTTTTGTCTTATTTAACATGACACAATTAAGACTGGTGGTGTTTTTGTCTTCAGCAAATTTACATTTTTATACATTTTCATCACTTATATCAATTATATCTCATGTTTATAATATTTATTGGAATCGACTTAACCATTTTGCAAACATTGATTCGTGACCCACAATATATTAATGTCAAGCGATCAGCTGTTATTTACATTTTGCGTCGCCTGGCGTCTATGCGGTGAAACTTTTATAAATGCCCAGTTTTGTAGGATAAAATACTTTTTGAATACGGGACTTCTACCAACAATTGGGAAAAAAACAATGTTTTATTATATAAATATATTTATTAACTATTTGATCTAAAATTACATGATCATTAATAGGATAACTACGATCTTCATTTTCTCTACCATTTGTTAGGGGAATATGGATTTTGGTGACTGCATTCGCACTTGGGCGAGGGAAACCCCTAGAAAACCTCAACCGTCACTGCTCAGATTAATTGTATCAGGGGAAGAAAAATCAAGTCGTTCCACAATTCTGGGTTCATTTGGGCAATCGAAAATCGCCAGCATGCCACAGTTATCAACCTAAAAAAAAAGTAGCGTTGAAGTAAGGTTTATAGGAGGGTCATTTTTCAAGTAAGAACCGTTCTGTAACCCAGTCAGAGAAATTTTATAATTATGAATGTAAATTGTATGACAAACTAAAATATGAAAACTTTTTCATTTTTCAACATAGCCAAAATAAACATTCAAACACAAGTCAACTCGTGGCACCAGTTTTTGTGTTAATGTAGCATGTGAAACTTATGCTGTGGTTTTCATGACGACAATTTCGCTCGTCTTAATTTCTACCAATCGCAAAGTCGCAATTTTGAATTACAACTGCTTTCTAGAAAAATTGTATGACAGTTCCTGTCAGCAATTTTTTTCCAGTTTACCCGCGGTAAAACTTGACAGCTGTTGTCACTAAAAATCATAATACCTTTGATAACAAGTAATCATTGTCTTTTAGGACACCACAAAAAGACGCCTAGGATTTTTTTTGATTTTATTGTCAATAAATGTAATATTGATTTTAAACAGTGCTAGTCAGATTATCTAGTGAAAATGAGTCGCTTTGGAAGTGGTTCTTTGACTAATATTGATCTGGCGATTGAGAAAAGTGTACCGTACAATACCGCTAAAACCCATACGTCAATATGGAAACAGTAGTTTACGGAATTCTGCAAGGCAAAGAAATACGAGCTTTTGGAAACTACAAGTTTAGAGCAACTAAACCTAATCCTGAAAGATTTTGCGTGGAATATGAAGAAAGAAAACGGTGAAAATTACAAAGTACTAGTTGTGAAGACACTGTAGAATACCATTGCAAAAAAATGCAAGAGATGTATTTTATGAATTGAAAAATCATGTTTGATCCATTTAAAGATATTATCTTTAAGTCTAGTAGGGAAGCTCGTAATGCAACGTAGGAATTTGCAGGTACTTCAAAAAATAATTCAATGGTATTATGTTTTGTAAGTTATGTGTATGCAGAATAATCTGTTATTCATGAAATAGTCTTGTCAAATACCATTCGGGAATCTAATTTTTTCCTATGAAAATAAATCGAAAAAACACAATGCAAAGTAATATTTTCTTAACAAAAAACATTCGTGCAAGTGCAAAAATCCTCATCTTCGACTCGAATTGTTGTTGCCGCAAGCACTCACGCTTCTTGTTGAAATATTACTTAGCAACGTGTTCGACATCTTTCTAATGTTCTTAACAAAATAAAAGTTGGTGAAAGCTTCTATGGCGCCGCTGCTTTTTGCAATAGGTTTCGGAAGTTACATTTCCTGATAAGCTTGACTTATCGAGTAAGACGTTAGTGAGACATGAAGACAAATAAGTTCAAGATTATGTAAAAAATACCTTTTCTTTGATTCATTTATCAATTCAATTGATGTTCATTCTTGATGTAGTAGCCTGTAGTCATCTTCAGGAGCATGGAGAAGTATAACTTTGGCCTCAGAATGTTAGTTTCCCAAATATGTCCCTGAATTTCTCAAAAAGTTGAAACTCGTGAACATCTTTAAAAGCTTTTGTTTGGGACTTGGCTGTAAATCTTCCGTAAGACATCATCATTATATTGACAGTAGACCATTCTACTATCATCCACGGATTTATCTGCAAAGAGAGTTCACATAAGTAGTCCAATTTAAATAATACCTTTGCTTGAAACGTCAAAAAGATCGGCTCTGCATTTCATGCATAAATAAATTATTAGTATAGTTTGAGTGTAAAGCTTTTGTTCTTCTTAGGTCATGTTTTGAAGATATATCTCCAAGACCCTCAACAGTTCTATCTGTACTTCAGTGGTTCGTGAAGTTCAAAACCAACCTTCTTGATGTCATACTCGCCTATGTAAAAATTTTGATGATTGACTGCTGTTTTCATGTACTGAAGAATACTATAAATCAGGGCTTTAATCATTCTTA